GCCTGCCTTGCCCGCCTTCTTGGCCCTGTAGACACAAGAACAGCGGTGGAGACAAACACTGGCCCCCAGCCACTTCCAGTCAGCTCTACATATGTCACATGTTAATGACATCAAGTCTGAGGGCCACCCACAGACCCACACGCTCGAGAAATGAAGCCATTTCTCCTCGGAACAGCGGTTCTTATCCTTTCCGCTGTGGCATTCAACGCCAAACACTTGCGGGGGCTTTAACCCTTCTCTGTGTTGCAAGGTCTGCTGCTGTCAAGTTTCTGCTCACCTCTCCAGCCACAGACTCTACAGAGTGTCATGGCGGCTTTGCTTGCAGAGTGATTTGAAAATAGAATTCATGCAACACAAATAAATCATTACAATATTTATGATACATGTTTTTCTTCCTGTGAAATAATGAATATTTGTAGCCTTGGGGCTTCCTCTGTTAATTAATTAAGTGAACCAGACTGAAAAGGGAAGTAAAAGTCATTATTCTAGTGTGTGAGTTCATCACTTTGTACATATTCAACTGTTTCAAGCAGGAGCTCCAGTAGATATATCCCTTTTGTTTTTGCAGGGATTTGAGCCAAAAAACAAGCAATGCATGAGCCAGAAACACATTCACAGCTTTAATCCTGATCTCATTAGTGGACTTGGGAGTGAAAACAGTAAACAGGAGCCACGCTAAAACTCCTCCATGTGCAGAAAAGGAAAACCATGCGGCGTCTCTTTTTTTTTTTTTTTTTTTTGTCAGACATGACTGATTCACTTGCTTCTTTTGTGTGTGTGGGAGCGTTCGCCTTTTCATATCGATCACGTTTGTGCCAACTGTTTGTTTTGTCTTTTCATATAATGAACCCTGGGCCCTGGGTGAGGCCCCGGCGGAGCTTTCCCTCCACGCTAAAGGGCTTTTTGTGAGACGGTGTCACGCTCCCTCGTTCCGGCGAGGCTCCGCGTTTCTTATTATTCATGGCTCTCTCCCCGTTTGTTGAGGAGGCCGGGATCAAACAGGCCGATTTGCCACGCCTGACACCCACTTCTATGAGTGTGTGTGTGTGTGTGTGTGTGTGTGTGTGTGTGTGTGTGTGTGTGTGTGTGTGTGTGTGTGTGTGTGTGTGTGTGTGTGTGTGTGTGTGAGAACTGGGCTCGGGCTCTCAGTAATGACAGGATTTGTTAAACAGTAAATTAATGAATAATGAAATATCCTGCACGCGCCTGCCTCGCCTGGAGCACAGTGCCCCGAGCAGGAATTACTCCCGACCGGCACTCTGCTGTCTGCATGCTGGATAACCTGTGTGTGTGTGTGTGTGTGTGTGTGTGTGTGTGTGTGTGTGTGTGTGTGTGTGTGTGTGTGTGTGTGTGTGTGTGTGTGTGTGTGTGTGTGTTGGATAAGCATTTTTACAGCCCATTGCGTGACAGAACGCTTTGGGGCTTTTGCTGATGGGGGCCTGCTCTCTCACTTTCTGGCAGAAGGACATACAGACGTACAGAGATGCAGACATAACCACATGCAGAACAGGCTGTGTCTCATAGTTTGTATGTCAAATATTACCAATGAGCCTTCATGAGGCCGGTCCAGGGTCACCAACTGCAACACCACCAACCGCTCCTCTCATTAAAGTAACAACCTGTGACGTTTTCATAAAGACACATTCTGCTTCCCTGTATCAGCTGATTCATCAAACATGAGCGATTCAATTTATTCCCTCCTCCTGGATGTGTGTTTGTTTCTCAAACTGTCTGCAGCTCGTGGATGTTTCTACTGGTGAACCAAAGTGCATGGAATTGTTATTCACTAAAAAGCTAAAAAGAAGTACAACAACTTTTACAAGAGCAGTGCAGAATGACTACTTTGCAGAAAATAACATGAAGCAAAACAGGGAGATACAAATGATGTAATCCCACTCTGTAAAGCACACCTGTAATAGTGTGCAGGTATTGCATCGTGGCTCACTGTTACTTTCTGTACAAGTTTATAGACGTGACCTCTTCTGCTTAACCTGCACCACACCTTTAGTTTCTGTTCCAAACCCGCTAATGTCATATTGTCCGTCTTAAGTTGCTTAGTTTGGAAACATTTTTTTAAAAGGCCGAAGTTCAGAGAAGCTCAGAATTTGGTGGGAAATAGGAAAGAATATTTGCATTACTATCTCATTGACTATAACATGTTTACATGTAATGGAGCAGGTGGCCATCCTTGATTTCTTTGTTTATTATGGTAGAGAAGTGTTCCTGTAGCGTGCATTGATTGCTAGAATACGTAATCAGTGCCAAGCCATAGGTTTGAAAGGTTTCACAGTGTTGTATCTGTTCACCTGCAAGTTCTAGAAATGATCCTTTTACCACTATATATAATACGAGACGTACAGCCAGATGTTTTAAAAGGTGTGAAGCTCTGATGTCCACGTTAACCCCAAATTGGTGACAAACGATTCATGTCTTTTTAGTATATTGCAAATTATAAGATTATTAAAACCATATTATATTTGTGAATAAAATCAAAAGCAGGTACTGAAAGTTCAGCCATTACAAGTTTGGTAAAGTAGAAGAGGTTAATCCAACAAGGAAGGTTCTTTCGTTTGGAATGAACACACATTTATTTTAACTTATCAACTCAAATTCAATCAACTAAAAATGTTATGGGCAGCCTGGAAATATTGATTTATTTTACAGTGTAGTGATGTTTCCCCCTGTTGCATTCCAAGCCACATTTGTAACCATCAATCAATCATCATTGTGGGTTTTTTAAAAATCAATCTGTAAACTTCTACTTCACCTGGAAAAGTTAGATATTTTATAAATGACACTGTTGAACATCAGGAGACGTTTTAAAAAATCTGCTCGACTATTTAGACTTCTGAAAATTCTGAAAAGCAGATACTTTCATCAAGTCATCCTTTAAAGAACAGCTTATAATAATCCCTATAGCAGAATACAGACAAGCAAATATGTCACCTTGAGAGAATTAAATAGTAGGCTATAAATTTCTGATCGATTTCAGTTCACCTTCATTTGACATTTTTTTCTTTTTCTTTAAATCGTTTTGAGCTGCCTGGTCTGATTGGTTGTTCTTGTTTTTTGTGTGTTGAAAAAATGAAGCCTTGCAAATTGAAATACACAAAGCTGCAAAAGCTTTTCAAGAGGTGTCAAACAGTCTTTAGAAAACTAAAGAAATTCAAACATAATTAAAAAAAACAACAACAATTTTTAGACACTGGAGCCAAATTACAGGGATCTACTTTTCTCTGCAGACTTTGTTAGGTTAGAAATTATAATAGAAAAAAACAGTAGCCTATGTGATATAATCCCTTTTTTTAATTGTATTTTACTTCTAGGAATCCCTATTTGAAACATTAATAATCTTTAACTGCAATCAATTCTAATGTGACAGATTAGGGCTCACATTAAAACTCTATTTTGCTGATTTAATGTTCGAGTTTCATTACCGATTGTTTCACATAATGACGCTTTCCCTTCTCCTCGTGCTGAGTGTTAATTAGACGCCATGTTTCTCTCCCTGCTTGTTGTTTTGTTGTCTTTACATTGTTTGTTTATTGTTGCAGCCAACCTGTCGTTGTTGTAGCCTCATGATGCTCAGCAGCTTCCTGTCTTTGTTGAGCGGTGGATCGCTCGCGGACATGCGGGTGCTGAACTCTGCACCTGCGTCACGCGGCGTTCCACTCCACGGGTCACGCTGAGCCCGCGGGACACTTTTCTCTCCCCCCCCCCCCCCCTTTCTCTCTCTCTCTCTCTCCCCCTATTTTGTCTCTCTCTCTCTGCCTCAATTTCTCATTAGCTTTCTTTCTCTGTCTCCCTCTACTTTTTTTTTTCTTTCTTTCTGTGTGTGTCTCGCGCTCTCCCGGAAGATCCCCACGGGCCCGCGAGGCACGATTCTATTCCCCCTGCGCGTGCGAGAGAGAGGGAGAGAATCCTCTCTGAATCGAGGGCCTCACTGTCCGGAAAATACAGCCAATTATCTCTCTGGAATAAGACCATATCCATCATTGTGTGTGTGTGTGTGTGTGTGTGCGTGTGTGCGTGTGTGTGTGTGTGTGTGTGTGGCGAAATAGACTGCAGAATACTGATAGGCTATTTTAGTCCTTCTAAAGCTCGTTAAAGCATAAAGCTCGTTTTATATCCAGCATTTCGCATTTTTTTTATTCTTGCACCTTTGTACGTTTTATTCTGAAATGTAACTTTCAGAATCTTAAACGGCGACAACAGCCAATAATGACAATTCAAAGGAGTGTTGAGTGGTGTTTTTAAACACATGGTAAAGGTTGTAACTGAAAATGTGACTTAACTTTACCTTGAAAAACACTCTTTCATCTGCTTAAGAACTTTTTTGTTTTTTAAGAAACATTTTTAGGAATAAGACGATCAATAGACCTGATTGTTATTCTTTCGGCCTGGATGTATTGTCTGCTAATCAGTGTTGTTGTTAGTCCAGTTTTATAACTTTTTCATTTACATTCAAGAGCAAATATAATGTATCATATAGTTTAATTTTTTATCTAATTTATAAGAATTACTGAGTTAATACAATCTGCTTTTTTATTGATCAAAATGATCACAGATGATCCCCCTGCTGCAACAAATACTTGACAGCTGATTAGTTTATACTCTTCAATGTTGTTGTTATTCCACTTGGATCGCAATGTTTTTTTTAAATAGTACCTAAACCAGCACATTTATCCTAAATCTATTATTTGTCACAGATGCCCAGCCTTTAAATTTGACCCACAACATTAAAAAAAATCCCAGTGAGTGACATCACAGTGTCGAGCTGAGTCTAATCCTAATTTCCTTCGCATGCCATCGTCTGCATTTCTGAGCATTTTACTCACAGGTGGTCATAAATATTCAGTGAAATAAGTTAAGTTAAATACCCTTAACTAATGAACACCATGATTTACATTTTGAATTGATTGAAGTGAAAGTGACTCGGGACCTTTGACCCTGATAGTGGGACTCTTTCCCTGCGGGAGAAAAGGCTCGGGCTGCACTCCTCGCATAATAAAACACATGGTTTATTATCAATGTGATAGAAATGAAATCACTGGACAATTAGAAGCATGTCTACCCATCATCATCATCATCATCATCACCATGACAACAGCTCTATAAGAACAGAAAAACATTGGATGAGTCCTGCCCCCCCACCCACCCACCCACCGGTCGAATCACAGATAAATAGGCCTACTCCTCCAAAGTAGCTGCTGCGCCTATTTACACAACCATCCGTTTTAAATTAATATAAATAAATATTTACACACATAAATTAACACCCACACGCCTCGTACCACACAAACCTGTTTAACAGATATAACACTCATCACCCAATCTTCATATCAGCAATGCTTTTCTGTGTGAGGACCAGTGACTGTATTAAAGATGGACAACTCCGGCTCAACGCTGTGAAGCAAAAGTGAAGCAAATTTCCCCGAGACAAGTGCCGATAACTTTTGGAGCCAGTAAACTGTGGAGCTGCAGTATTTGAATTCCCGCTCCCTCCGCTGACCAAAGCTAACATTTTTAAGTCGTCGCTGGCAAAATCAGCGGATGCAGATCTGTTTTTATTTTTGCCATGATCTGAAGCAGACCTTCACAGTTAAATGGACTATAACAGTCCATAACGTTGAGAGTCTTCACAGTAAAGACCGGCTGGTGGAGCCATGGTATTGCAAGTTCCACACCTATACTGCTGCCCCCCAAAAAAAGCCATTTCACAAACAAACCTGCAAAGATCCCTGGGGCCGGCAAAGTCTACAGCAGGGCAGCTTTTTCTGTCATTAACTGTTATGGACTACGATGACTGGTGATGTCTTTTTGGAGCTCATAATAAAGACCGAATGGTGGAGCCGTGGTCTAGCAGTTCCACCTCTACTGCTCCCAGACATACACATTTTACTGATCAACTAACCGGCAAAGACCCCTCAGACTGCAAAGTCGACAGCAGACACTCGTGGTAAAAGATAATAAATGACTGATGATGCAAGAAGCTATAGAGTCTGCACATTTAGAGCCATAGCATTGACGTCCCACTCCCTAAAACACACATTGAACTTATCGACAAAGTCCCCTCCTATACCGGCAAAGTCTAATGCACCACATCTGTTTTTCTCAAGTAGACATTCTTGTGTTTTGGGGGATATTCATGACTGTATTGTAGTTCATCTTACCATTCCTCCTATACTCCGCTTCAGAGCTCTGCATTTGTCAAAGGAGCTGTCAATCATAAAGTTATAAATGCAACTAATTTATAAGCAAACATCACAGATAAATGAACACTCGCATGTAAACCAGCATGAAGACACCTAACCATAAGTTTGACCCGTTTCCCATCTGTTAACATGGAGGAGGCGGAGCTTATAGCCTATACTGCTGCAAGTCCCCGGAGGGCTATATGGAGATCTTTTGGCTTCACTTTTTAAGGAGCTGTTCATCTTTTTTTTTTTTTACAGTCTATGGTGAGGACAAACACAAGCGCACACTCACGCAGGCACACACACACATACACAAAGTCCTTTTGTTGGCTGCTCACAGAGTCTCAGTCTCACAGGATGCAGGCAGGGGGAGCAAATGGATGTAACACAGTAACCACCATGTCCTTGGGGGGGGGGGAATGAAAAGAACGTAACACAGATGAAAAAAATTCCTCTGTGATCTCCGACACTGGCCCACGGGGCTGTCCTCCTCTTCCTCCTCGGCCCTGTGTCTGTGTGTGTGTGTGTGTGTGTGGCAGGTCAGTGGCAGTGGTGTAAAGCTAGACGTAACGGGTTTGTAACACCTCTTCATCCCCCTGCTTCATTTCCTCTGCTTCTCCTCTTTGTCGCCGGCCTTGTTGCCGCCGCCGTCGCCGCCGTGCCGGTTGTTGGGCGGGTTGTTGAGAAACATCTTGTCGAGTCCTTTGAGAGCCTCTGTGAGGTAGTTCTGGAGGGTGGTGAGCGCGGCGCAGATGGCGGGCGAGCCGAAGCCGTGCGTGATGAAGGAGAAGTGGGACAGGCAGCTCTGGATGCCGGGCTCCAGGATGGGGCTGGGCCGGGAGTTGCCCAGGGGAGTCCGGTCCTGGGCCAGCAGGTCTGTGAACTCCTTGCACAGCTGTCTGCAGGGGAGGAGAAAAAAAACAAGACGTCAGGAGGGGACGTCTCTCTTATCTAAAGGTTTTCACACAGCTGCTTTTTGAGGACATTTGACAGCAGCATGCGGTGTCTGTTATTTTTTATTTTTCACTGTTTTCCTCTGAATATAAAAAATGGAGCTGATGACACAGAAGTCTGACTGTATGATATCAGAACCCTCTGAAAACTCTTCTACAGCTGTCTCCTTCACTGCACCTGCTAATGCAACAAAAACCTACTTGCTGTCTGTCTGAAGTCAATATTTAAATCAGCAAATTGCAAATTGAATGATCACCCAAACAGTACAACAATTCCTAACAATACTAACACTGTCAGCAAGACAGTATGTGCAACCTCTGCCTAACTTAAAACCTCATTGAATGCATCAAAGTCAACCACTACACACATCTTATTGAGAGTCCTCTGTGGGGGGGGGGAATAATATTTTGCAGCAGATGTACCTGCAGTTCTTCCTGAAGTGAACTTAAGTCAAGTCTAAGAGTTGATGCTGTATGCTGTGGCAGATGTTCCTGTCTCCCTATCGTTATTCAGATCAGGCCTATCACAACAATTTATCCAAAGTGGGGCGGGGCTAAGTGCAGTTCAGACATATTCATAACCAATCAAGACAGCTTGGTTGCTTGATGTGGTTGTATCAGAATCTGCAATCACGTCAGTATTAAAAGACTTTGCTGAAGTTGTACGAATGCTAAACTGTGTCATGCCAAACACCTGTGGAACTAGCTAACTAGGCTGTCTGCCAATAGCTACGTCCCAAGTTTCTTTGGCTCTGATTGGTTGTAAAGGTAGTCAGCACCTGTTTAAAATGCCATATATAGCAGTTCTGGAAGTAATGCAAGGCTAAATACATGTCACGTCTGTTCAACGGGAAACTAAAGGAAACACTTTGTGCATCATCAGCGCTGTGATTTTAGATGATTAATAGGAGTTCTCTGTTAAAGATAAAGATGGTTGATTCCCATTTTCAGACTTATTTTAGCGATACTCCAATGAAAGTTTTGATGCAAGAAAATCTGCTTCCCTGTGTAAACCTGTGTGACATAATCTAAAGAAGAAACCCTGTAAGAATATTCCTCTTTTAAAACGTATCGCAGTTATTTCCAGTGCATCCTAACACCTGTTTGCATGCAGGTGGGAAACTTCATTTCACTCTATAAAACTTGATCATTTTCCTCGGGTTTTCCAGAATGCATTTGGGAAACAAAAAGAAAAAGAAGTTGCATGAAGTTGATGCAATCACTGGCTACAGAATATCCAACGATTGGGTTTGAGTGGCAGCTCTGACAGAGCAGGATTCTCAGTTTGAAAGTAGCATTCCCCCAATGAAAGGCCTTCATGAAATGACCAGAAGGCCTGACTCATACGTCTATTACACTTCAGATGAATATATTCAGAATCCATACACATACATAAACCTACTTAATATATAATTAACCAATTAGATTAACAAATTTCCTTCATGAAGAAGAAAAATACTGAACAATGATCCTCTTAATATAAAAATGTCCCCAAGAAAAAACAAGCCAAATGTCCACAGTGCATATTTGAACCACTCTTTTATGCCTGAAAATGAAGTAACTAACTAAAGTAGAAGCATGACAGTTTTACAGTTTGTGTCCTCAACATTCAATGTAGATACTTGTCTGTTAATTTGTCTAATTAAATACAGATTGATCTTTATTTTCACTGCAGAATTGATGTTAAAAATGCACCGAGAAAAGAAAAACCCTCCTTCTTCACCTTGCTGTCCTTGTTAAATTTCAGCAAATCATCTTCTGGTTTTAGGCCTACATTTGATATTCAAGAGACCCCCCTCTCTCCCTCTCTCTCTCTACTTCTTCGTCTTCTTTACCCCCTCTCTCAGATTTGCACACCCCACAAACACACACACACACTTGCACACCCTGTCAGCGGCCTAAGGGCAGAGCTACAGCAAATGAGTGACAGGCTGTGCGGGCCGAGCCCAGCTGGGGTTAGGGGAGTAGAGAGGAGAAAGCCGCCTCCCCGGGCTACACTGGCGGCCCTCGCTGTTGTTTTTCTGACGACTTGAAACACTTCACTGCTAAATAATGAATTTCTAACAGGCAGCACCGACACACAGTATTGGAACAGGTTTGAATCTGAGCATCAAACATCCACCACCGAGCACACCGTACATACTGAGTACATTGGGATGCACACACACACACACACACACACACACACACACACACACACACAGATAGGCAGATGGTTTATGCAGTGCAGGCCAGCAGAAAGCACTATTTATGCAAGCTAAAAATAAGAGTTTCCTGAGGGGATCTTCGTAAGAGGGTGGTACGGCTCTTGGTGCAACCTTTATCACCCAGAAAACTCCAATTCAGGGGAATAAACAGACACAGAATGGGACTATTAATTTATTGGCAGATGGTTTTTTACTTATTTGTCGAGGTAAAAACAGGCAAAGATTTAGAGTATTTCTCTAATTTTATCCACATTTTTAGATCTACGTCACCTCTGCAACCCCGGTTTCTCTACAAAAAGAAAAATCTACACTTCTTTGTTTTTCAGCTGATCAGACAATTTTTGCTCCAATTCCAAACCCTTCTGCTTAGAAAAACACAACTCAGGGAAATGAATAGAAATAAAAAAAAACACTACCCTGATTGCTTGTTTTAAACATTAAAGAAAGCAAAAATATAATTATTCGGGTGCTTATTCCACATTTTTTTAAAACACATCACCTCTGCTACCTTGTCTTTCCTGAAGAAATCTACATCTTTTGTTGATCCATTTCCAACCCTTTTTGTTTCGTTATCTTCTTCCAGACGATGTAAAGGAACAAAATGATGACTAGTTGATTTGGGTTATTTTTGCACAAAGTAGAAATAGGCCAAAATCTAAATTTATTCTCAGATTCAGTCTTCATTTTTAACTCACAGCACCTCTGCTAGCCAGGCTTCCTTTTAAGAAAATCTACATTTCTCAGTCGCTAAAGCTAATCACACTCTCCTTGATTCAATTCCACAGTTTAACAGCCATAAAAACGGATTAATAAAAGCAACTTTACGAGGAGTCAGATGTAAAATGGTTCTCTTTTAAGACCTGAAGCAGAGGTCAAACATACACCAGCCACCTCAAAGCTCATGTTTTATAATGTCTGAGAGCTGTATAAGGCCCATAAGGTTCATTTATACACGAGCTAAAGGTTATTCTGTGCAATGAGCCGCTTGTAAAGATGTGAAGTTGTGCAGTTGCATACAAAGTGATGAGATTTAATTCAATATATTTCATCCCTTATCCAGGATCTCAAATAAATCACAATCATAAGGTGAAAATTGATGACCTGATACTTTCAATTTAGTTACAATAAAAATATATTTGACTGTAATGTGGGTTTTTTGCTCAGGCCTTTGTAATGAATTTAACTTCCCTTATTCTTCAGTATGAACATTTTCCAATCAGCCCTTTTAAATTACAGGTCAAATCCATATCCAGTGTGATGTGTTTCATTAAGAAAATCTCATCCTCTTTTGTAAATGTCAGTGCATATCCACTATATTCCCAAAGTGGGACTGGGTGCAGTATATAGAGAGGAGGATATGGGAGGTTTGCACCCTCGGGCAGAGGCCCTAGGAAGGGGGGCATACAGGCCCCATGACAATGAAAAAGAGTTTAATTTCACAAGGATTCCTTCCATCAGAAATGTACTTACTGTCAGAGGGTGCTGCCCTTTTTTAACCTTTCTACGTTGATCTGTTATTTAAATCATCAGCAACAAAAACCTGAATTATAAACCTTTACATCTTGACACTTTTCTTTTATTTAGGTCGTTGTGTTTCTCCATCAAATCCTGTATCTCTGTCTGGCGTCTGATCCTTGTACTCCTTAATTTTCGTGAAGCTCTGCTGTCTAAATGTGTCTATAGATAGGCCTACTTGAATTCCTCATATCAGCGATTCAACCACAGCTGGTGTTCTGGTTTAATCTCATTCCACCGGTCTCTCTTCCTGTATACCACACAGCAGCAGACACGTATTATATTGCCTCTCTGACAGACTCTATAAAGACTATATGGACGAACAGGATCTAATCAAACGCTCCATCACACTCACTTTGTCGCCAGCAGCATGTTTTTCCGCGTGTGCAGCTCGTTGGGGTCCGCGTGCTGCCGGTTGAGGTACTCGCTCACGGCTTTGGTGGGGAACTCCGTCTCGCAGATGTAACCGAAATCCCGGGCCAGGTGCACCGCTTCACCTGAGGGGGGAAGGTGAAGGTGTGGTGTCAAGACAATTGAAATATAAAACACAGACGAACAAGAAGTTAGATGTTAAAAATGATTTCAGTTCACTTCAGAGGGTCTTTGACCTCCTCACCCTTTAATAACCCACCTTCTTATGCTTTCCTTTTTATCATTAATCATGTTCACTGATTAGCCTATTTGTTTAAAAATTACACGCTATCCATTTGTACACTAATATCCCTCCGCCGTCTTCTTTTCAGGTGACGCAAAAACGTAGTATTAGCCTGTTGTTATCATTTATCAGATATACCTACGTTATTAAACATTTTAGTTAAATATCAATGTGTCAGGGTTAGCTAATGAGCTTATTATCAGCCCTTTTCAACGGGCATGTTATAACAAGTAAGTCCCTTAACTAATAAAAAAATAATAATTAAAAATACCATAAATAATACAAAATAATATAAATGAATTAAAAATTATATTAAATAAAGTCCAGAAACAGTGGTAAAACTCGCAATTCCATTGGGTGGAAATTAATGCCAGGTGCATATTAGGCCTACATATTTAATTTTGGACCTATTTTATTACGCCCTTCGCAGTAACCCATCGTGGAAAAACTTAATCTAATAAGTAACGTGGGAATAGGTAGCCTGTTTGGTATTTAAAAAAATATATCTTATTTTCTTTCATTATAGTGCTCCCTATAAAGTCTAAATAAGAATATAAAGATCTTGAAGTGTTGCTCTGGGCAACAAGTTGACCTAAGAGAAGCAAAGAGAACACACTTTTCACAGCTGTTTTTTTTTAGCAGGTAGGCCTCACGTGCAAAAATTCATCATTTAAGTCATTTAATTAATTTAATTCTCCTGCCTCTACTTTCTCAATAGTGGGTATGTATTTCCCTTAAGTTCCTTTTTTTTCTTCTTCAGCTTCTATTAATAACACAAGCTATTGTCATTTCTAACGCTCAGAGGATCATGACCTTTGTAATCTTAGTTTGGCCTGATCCTGACTTCATGTCGCTCTCATGGGAAGATAACAAAATGAAAGGTTCTAATAATTTCTCTTTTGCAACATTTGCCCTTGACAGCGAAAAAAAAACCCCGTTTCTATTTATTGTATTATTATTTTGTGAATAATATATGAACCCAGTCACCTTCTACTAGAGATGTTAATAACGTGACGTTGGCAGCTTTGCGTCTTCCAGCAGGTAAATTCAGTCCAATCTTCTCCAGCTTCTCTCGCAGACATTTCCCTCCGTTTTTAGACTTTGCTCTGGAGAAAAAAATCGAATCAGTACAACTCTGACAAAATATTAAGAAAATGATTCAATAACACACACAGAACTAACCCTAACCCTGTTATATTTAGCCTAATAAATGACCAACAGCAGCTGCACAGTTTGGAAACTTTTATTAAACAGAAGTCATGAGCTTTGTGCTCATTTTGTCTCCAGAGGTTTGGTTTGTGTTAAATTGACTGTGGGCTGTAAATGGCACAGATTCTGAGACTTTACAGCTCTGGCTTTAATTAATATCTACCTCTTAATATTTAACGATCCACAAGCTTTTTTTTTTTTTTTTTTTACATCCACAGTTCTGCCTGAACTTTCAACATGCTCCGAGGCTTGCAGTCGTACCTTCTCAACACGCCCCCCAACAGGGAGGCGTTGAGGCACTCGGGCGGGGACAGTCTCCTCTGCACCTCCCCTACGGTCACTTTGTACTTGGAGGTGGAGCTGAGCAGCGACAGGCGGCCCGGTACCGAGCAGAACACCTCGTTTATGTTCACGGTCACCCCACCGATCAGGCCGTCCTTCCCGAGCATCAGGGAGCCCATGTTCTTTTGGGGCATGGGGACTGAAAGAGGAAAAATGATTTGCCCTTTAAAAAAACAGGTGGAAAAACGGGATTAAGACAAGTTGTCAATCTCTGAACTGAGGCCTTTTTGTTAAACTTTGTTCAGTAGCCTATATGAGACCTAATGAAGCCCCCCACGCGCCGGGCATTTGCTGTTATTTAATGTCGCGCGACATTCTCATTACAATATTATCGATTGTTGATTGGCTCGCGCTCTTAAATCGCATTAACCACCTCCCTGTCTTTTCTCCACGGCCGGTTTAACTCCCACCAGCCATCACTATAGATGCTCCTTCAACACTGGGTGTTAATGCTCGCGCTAATGGTGTTAAAAAAAAGAAAAGAAGAAGAAGCCAGTCAGCCTCGTGCATGCAAGCAAGCGTAGGGGCCAGTTGTGAGGGGGTTTTGATGGCTCCACGGGGGATAATACCGCAGATTAGCTCTAAACGAGCTCACGAGATCTCCGTGAGCGGTGCCATTTATTACATCAGCGGCTTAAATGCCCCGCGGGGAGCTCAGTCACTCAACATCCCGTAACTAAATCACGGCACATCATCAGAGCGACAGCATGGCAGCCCTGTCAGCGACACACTGCCTGCCAGTCAATACCCCGGGATCGTTAACCCTCCTTTCAACTTCTCATCACCGACTCCAAAAAAAAAAACGACATTTGACAGCCCAAAAACGTGGAAATATGCTGCTCCTGGTACAGTGTAGGTACAGCATGTGTCCAGATTTAACCTTTTATTAGTGAGACATTCATTCTTACCAGAAATAATCAATTTATATCATGTCATAAAATAATATATTAATTAACGAATTAATGGAGGGAAAATAGCCTACAGTAACCTACCATTTTGCACACAATCCTCAAAACATTTCAAAGACGAATAAAATGTTTGACAGGTTTTATTTGATAGGCTGTTTATGATCAGTAGTCGTTTTTATCGCACAATTGCAAAAGACTGTTAAAAAGAATTGAGACAAACATGTCTATAAATGAGTGTGTTCCTACCTTTCTTTATTACTGATTGATCCAGGATGTTCGTCCCGTTGGTGTCGTCAATTGTCTGTTAGGAACAAGATAAACAAATGTTTATATCGTCTGTTTCAATCAAGAGGATCCATACTGTAAAAAACAACAAGCTCCAACAAGACAATGCTTTATACTTTAAATATGCTTACTGGATTTATTTCCCGGTTTTGAAAGTCTAAAGGTGTTTGTTTAGTCAGAGCAAACAAATCTGTCTTGTAATGACTTCTGTCTCTTTCTTCGTAATAATGTGGCTCATAGAGAAGATGCTGTTCCAACTGTTTCAAAGCCTCATTCATCAATCTCATTCATCATCCAGCGAGATAAATTCCCTCTTAAACAGACCTGATGTCGCCATAATTGCTGCACGCCCGTGCAAAACACGAAAAAACAAAAAACAAAGAATTTGTTGAAACAAATTTATGTGGGGTTAATATATGCATGACACAAAAACGGAGAGCCAGAAATGAGAATCTATTGTGGAGGTTAAATGGCAAACAATTCGTGATGGTAGAGCCCTGAGGGGGGGAACGAGGAGATGAAATCCTATACAGCTTAATATAAAGTCTTCCAGCTTGCTTTTTTTATGATTTGCACCTCAGCAGCAGCGATGCTTACAAAACAATTTACATGTTGTGAGAAAAGGAACATTCAATTTCTTAAATATCAAGAAAAAGAAAAAAACATGAGCAGCAACGCTACCATGGATACATGGTAGAAAAAAAACACATAAAAAAAAAGGACTTTCAAAATTAAATCTAATTTTAAACACATAGGTACTATTTGTTCCACAAATAACAGCAGATCCAGAACTTTCCGTTTTAAATGGCCTTATTGAATAACCTTAAGACAGCAAAATGATTTGAATTTAAATTTGCAAAAGCTACATTTGAGCTGCATACAGCAGTTTTTATGGCCAGTATTTTTTTTTTCACATAGCAGCATCTCCTCATCAAAGTAGAAGTCGCAGGTCTGTGCAGACAGTGTGTTGAGCTGAGGGCCATTTAGTTTGAGGCTACAGCTGCTGAGAGAGTCCAGCCCTGAGGGAGCTGCTCTGAGGTCACTGACCTTTACTCTGAAGGACCAGAAACATGCAGAGACAATGGAAAGCACAAATTAAATTTAACAAGAAAAAGCTACCACTTAAACTCTATTTTAATTTAGTATTAGGAAAAATATATATTTGTTGTAGTTAGCCTAAATGTTGAGTAAAATAAACATTTAGGCCTTCTGTAAACAGCTGTAGCCACATTTGATAAAGAAGGCTATTTTTTCTTTATATCTGCTATTTAGCTAACGTGAAAGTAGGCTAAATGTACCACAATATGTGATCTTAGCCTGCTGGATTTTGTGGAAGCTTTTTTGGGGATGTAGGCTAATTAAAATCCTTAATTGAAAAACCAAACGGGTCTATTTGTCTCACCTGTACATCTTCCATATGCAGCCCGTGCAGTAGTCCATCTCCCATCCCGGGCTCCAGTCCCGGATGAGCGGAGTGCAATAGCACATCAGGCCGCCTCACGCCTCCGTAGTCCCTCCGCGGGTCCAACCCGGACAGCTGCGGCAGTGAAGCCCGGGGCTGAGCCAGCAGACCGGAGCTCTCCATCCGGTCTCCGGTCATATCCTGCCGCTGCCGAGCCCCCCACGCGCCCTGCTGGCTCTGGTGCAGGGAGTTCAGGGAGTACGGGTCGCTGACGTGGGAGTACGGGTCCTGGCTCTGGTAGTGAGCGAGCGGCTGGTACGGCGGCGGGAAGTACGGGGGCTGGAAGTCCGAGGAGGGCGCGTGAGACAGCGGCGGGGCGCTCGAGTAGGGTCCCGCGTGCGACACCGAGCCCAGCTGGGACAGGCGCGAGCTGTGGCTCGAGACACCGTCATGCCGGTCCTTGAAGAGGAGGAGGAGAAGAAGAAAATGTTACACATGGAAACTGGAACAATTTGAACAAAACTAAACAAATTGGAGGCCTGAACCAGGATGCGTTTGTTGGAGGATTTCGCCCCTGGTGATGCAGCCTAAACAAACTGACACTGAATGTCCTGAACAAGGAAAAAAAAAAAGAAAGCCTCGAGGAAAATATCACAGCCTAATTTAAAAATGTCTCAAAACGAAACTTCCTTGCAATATCCAGCGATTCTGTAACACAGAGAGAAAAACTCACCGCAGTGGAGTAGGAGTGAACTAACATCTGTAACCCGTCTGCTGCTCTCTCGGGCAGGCTTAGAGTGAAACAGCAGGATAGAAAAGACCGTTGTAGCCCGGGATGACTAAACTCATTCCAGGTGAAACGCAACTCGTGTGTTTTCTGCAGGCTCGGCCCGGTCTACTAAAGCTCCATGCAGAACTCTTCCTCCGCCTGGAGCTGCAGCCTCTCTGACTGTGAGCAACCGAGCGCACGCCTCTACCCCCGGTCCTCGGTGTAATTGTTATTCATGACTGAGACTTACAGGAATATTAATGTGCGCAAAGGCAAGGGGGGGAGACTGGGCGACACATGGAGCGTGAAGCCTCTCGCGCAACCGTGAGTGACGTTTAAATTCCGTGGAGGGCTGAATCGAGGCGCGAGCAGCAGGAGATAGAAAGGGAGTCTATCACTGGAGAAAGCGTAACAGAGGGGACAAGACCCGTGAGGAGTTCCCCCCCCCAGCCCCCCCTCCCATGACAAAAATATAACACACTTTTGGGTCTTTTTCTCGCAGAATCTGACACAAGAAAAGTACACTTTGTTGCCTTTAGAGACACTTTGGCACGAGTAGACTTTGACGTCATAAAAGCACCAACAATACCACCAGGACCCTCAGAGTCAATAATGACTCTTATTATGGAGACCATGGTGAAATGTTACGATCATAGCAGATACAGCCATTAAAAAGAAAATGGGTTTCTAACATAATAAATCAGCATGGACAAAAAACTTCAACAAAAGTCCCCATTTCTATTAATTCCCATGCAATTTACATTAACTACAGCATGCAAAAAACAACAATCCTCCTGAATAAAAGGGGTCTCATGTTGTGTTGCAGCTGCCTTCATTAGTCTGCCTAAAAAAACACACTCGAGACACTATACAGGGCGCACGCGGGGCTCGTGTGAAACGGTGTCACGAGTCAAAGGAAGCGATTAAACTTTATATTGTAACCCTCTTTGCCCTCTTGCTTGACTTGTTTAACAACATCACACAGCCTCCCCTCCCTCGCGCCGTGGGAGAATAGCCATGTGCGGCACGAGACAAGGGGTTTCCCACCGGGCTGAGCCGAGGGGCCTCGCGAGTTGCCCTTTTTTTTTTTTTTTTTTTTTTTTACCCCATTCAGCGCGAGCCGGAGCAGGACGTCGCCCCCGCGCGCGGCGGTATTTCTTCCCTCAGCTCGTTTAAAACAGAAATTATTGTTCTGGGATGAAAGCCAGAATGATTTACATATTCCAACACACACCATCGTCCTTTGACCCCGCGGTTCTCTCACCCATGTTTTATTTTACTGTTTAATTTAAAATCTAAGCAAATTTTTAAAACATGATTTTGCACCTTTATTGATCTATTTCTATAAAGTATTTCTTACCTCTTTAAGAGCAGGTGATTTGAATAATGGTTAGTTTTATAGCACTTAAAATATGAATTTGCAAAAAATAAAAATAAAAATTGGAGATCATGATGCAATATTAAAAATGTTGAAAAAAATATACTGGAAATTAGTCATCCTATTTAAAATATTGTATTTTCATTTTATCCTGTCTTTAAAATAAAAAAAGCAAATAGAATTGTACAATTAAAGATAACTAAGAATATTTTCAAAAATTGAAGAAAAATATGAGCTAAATTTCTGTCTGATCGAAATAACCATGTGCTGAAATGTCCCAACATTCAGATTTTGAAAATCCCCTTATCACAAATTAAAAGGCCCTTAATCCTTCTGCACAAACATCCCACTTAATTTAACAATTCTGAACACCGCATTATTCCTCAAAGTATGAAACACGTGTAATATGTCCTCCTCCTTTAAAACACACACAGATGGACGGCAACGTTACCTCGTAAATATCTTCATACTTGACATTCTCAACTAGTTTCCACAGCATGGTCGCTTCTCCGGTGTCGGTAAACCGAATGCAGCCAAGTGAGGAAGAGACGTCTCATCTCTCTCTCTCTCCCTCTCTCTCCTCTCTCTCTCTCTCTCTCTCTCTCTCCGCCCTCTGTAGAGTCAGCCAGGCTTTGTGAATGGGGAACTCCTGCACAGACTCCACTACTGCTAAAGAGGAGTGATGCTACAGCAGCAGGAAGCTTCCATGTGTGAGTAAAAGAAAACAAAGAAAACAATGCATGTTTTATTTACCGTGCATTTCTGTAGTTTCCAAAGTAATAACATGGCTGGTTAGCTAAAGCCTTTCATGTATTGTACTCACAGATGGACAGCTTTGGAAGACACTGAATTCAAGCATGTGGCAATGTTTCTTACAATAGGCCTACATGAATGAATATAAGGACATGAGTACCCCAGGAGTCACTTTGTAAGACACAGAAAGTACACAAACCTCTCTATACTGCAAACAAAGATAAAATATGTCAAAGAAAGAAGAGAGCAGGGATAACCCCTGCACATGTTTTGCACATGTATAGGGAACCAGAATGTTTGATGGTTTAGTAATGAGTGATATTTTTGATTTGCTGTCATTTAGCAGTGCACCATCACTACTGACATCACAAACACATGACAAAAATAGTAGATGCGTAGCTTTAAAAACAATTCTTACTGGAGGTACTCATTCAATTGCATTCACTTCAAACAACTGTATTAATCCCTCTTGGGGCAATTAGTGTGGAGCAGCCTGTACACATGAGAAAAAACCCACAAAAGACAAGTTGACATACAAACAACAAGGAGTTAAAACATAGACAAGACCTAAAGGAGACACTAATATTAAACAGACTGATTAGAGGTCAGCCAGACTGAATACAAAATAATAACACTAGAACGATCAGTCAAATAAAAGAATAAAAGATCTGTGGCGCTAAAAAGATCATATCCAACTAAATTTTGTTCCGTCTTTGCAAGATGAATGTGCAGAACTTCACAATCATTGTGCCACATCCCCTCTATGCTGATGATAGTGAACTTTATGATGCTGGTTCAGCATTGAAACATGTTTGTTTATCGAGTCGTCATTGTCTCAACTGTGTTTATTTTGTGATGAGAACTATGACCGGGAATATCTCTCAGTATGAAAAGACTATTGTTGGGGACGCCGCTAGCATAGTGGTTGATATGCCTGTACCATGTACAGAAGCTGTGGTCCTCAAAGCAGGCAGCCCAGGTTTGAGTCCGACCTGTGGCTGCTTTCCTGCATGTCATTCCCCTTGCTCTCTCCCTGATTTCTGACTTTACCCACTATCCTAACTCTCAATAGAAATATAAAGTCAACCTGGAAAAAATACAATTTTCCAGTTATATAGCAAACCATCCAGAGTTAAAATGTAACTAACTTTACATTTGCTCAAGAAAAACTCTGAGAAGTCTGTTTTTACTCTGATATTCTATTCACACAATATGTCATACCTCTTCTTCATCTCTTTACCTTTCTGCTTACTTTACTCATTTCAAAGCTAACTGCAGAAAACCATTGTTTGCATCTGTGTAAGACTTCACACCTACCTGTGTATTGATGGCAATAATTGGAACATAGGAAAAAATTGGAAAATTGCCATTACACTAACATTACAACATACTTTGCATATTAAGATTATACAAGTTAATGAAAATACAATATGTTATCAGGTTAAGTCATTGGCTCTTAATCTTTTTCTGTCCTGTCCCCACCCTCCCACCCTTGAAGGGACAAAATACCATCATGATTGTGAAAATTCATTTCTCACATTTTCCCACAATAGCATTTCTTGACCCTTTCTATATCCACTAATCATTCCTACTTCAAATACTAACATTAATGTATCCAAAAGATTTCATATTCCTGTTTTTTATTTTTTCCTTAGTAAGTAACACAACAAAGTTTCAACAGCAATATCTTATTGGCTTATTTCTTTGAGCCTGTATTCACAAATAAATAAGCTGTAAGCCTAAAAGAGTGATAATTTAAAGTTCTAACAAAAGGGATTGTGCCACATTGAAATACAAAGACAGCTACTAGCAAGTCCCGCCTCTGACAAGGAAAATAGCCAAGCATCATTTAAGATTTTGGCTTTGACATCTGTGTTGGCCAATCAGATTTCAATGCGTACACCACTGTCATTGGATTGACATGTCTTACTGATTTATTAAAAAGACAGGGTTTGCTGTCCCTTCACCTTCTTATCTTTCTATCTATTGGGGAATAAATAGTTAAGGCTATACATTCAGCATTTAAGTTTAATTTACAGAAACAGACAATAAAAATAACAGGATTAGAAGTTTTCCATTAGTTTGACATTCCCTTGAAGCAGCCTTCAATTCTTCCCTGTGAGCATTGATCCAAGTGTGAGTAAACTGCTCCCCCTAGTGTCAGAAGAGTAAGCATGCACCCGACCATCAAACTGTAATCTGTGAAATAACTGGCCTCTATTAAGCAAGCTATATTGTTTTGCAACAGATTCAGTGTTTTAAAATCAAACATTATAAGCATTGATAGTTTATACCCTCAAACCCTCATAGAGTTATTTGCAATCAGTGAATATGGCTTTGCAGTGAAACTATCTTTTGAGTCTGAATTTTCATAATTTCAGCAGCATTTAAAAACCTAGTTTCAGTTGCACAAGTTAAACTCTCATAATGTTTTGTGCATGTGATGTGTGTGTGTGTGTGTGTGTGTAAGAGAGAGTGTGTTTAAGTGTGTGTGTGTTCTCTCTTACATGTCTGCCATGTTTAAGCTCCTTTTGATGTATGAAACAAAAAAGTGCCACAGAGAATCGTAGACATGAATGTTTAAAAATCACGGCTGTTCTCATGTTCACTGGACTGACCTGCTGCCAAACATTCACCCATCCCCACTATCTAGCTCTCCTTCCACACACACACAAACACACATGGACACACACACACACACACACACACACACACACACACGGTGGGACATATGACTGTCAGCGATGGCAGATGTCCTGACAGTCTGGAGGTCTGGAGGCATGTTTGTGGTCGTTGTCCTGCAGGGCTTTGACACACGATGTATCAGCATACATTACAAACACAACATATAACACACAAAACACACACACAGCTAACACAACACACACACACATATAACACACATGCCACAGTATTTCTGCTCAATCTGAGCTCTGCTGCATGTTTGGAACAATCAACACAAAAAGCAATATTCATCTTAACGTTCATTGATGCAGGGCGAGGCTGATACTTGTGAGTGCGCCCATTTCAGGCCTTTTTTTATGTTTTTCATTTCTTGGCCTTTTGATTTCCTCTGGTGAGGTGTATTCCCCATGTTGTAATGCCTTGGTTGATTGGTTAATTTAATGACTATATGTCATGCCTAGGATCTTCCAAATGCATCACTAGACAGGCTTTTGTTATTCCAAATATAAAGCTGAAAGACAGTGGAATGATCCTTTAATCGTTTAGCCACTTCTATCATGCCATGGAGTAAAAGCAGAGGATATTTAACAACTTAACCACTTGAAACCACAGTGAAAAATAAAAGTAGTTTTTATTGTATCATTGTATCCTCAGTGTTATGTGGTTTTATGATAGGCCCACTGAAAGCTCTTTAATCAGACTTTATGAGAGCATCAATGAGCTGTTTAATGAGTCATTCTTTTGATCAGGATTATCCAGTTTAAATTGTGTTAGGGATTAACATGTAGTAAGAATATAATTTCATTTTCTGTTTAAAATGATCGTTTCTACTCCTATGCAGTCTAAAAAAAATGTCAAAATATGCGCTTAGACACTAAACTCAGACTGAAGCTGCAGTACAGCTGCTGACCACTAGGTCGCACTAGAGCACCACAGAAAGCACGGAGGGCAAGAGAGGCGACAACAAAGTACAGATCTGATATAATCTGTAAAATTCAAAGTGATTTAAACCTGATATGGCGAGTAATCGGTCTTAAAAATATGTTTTACCAAAATTTGTTGGAATTTCTTTTATCAAATTGTAAAGAAAAGGAACACATTTTGATATCACTTTAGGTAAATCATGAATCATACCATGACTGTATCCCATTTAGGTGCTTTACTTCCACTGTTCTGGTACTAAGCATGCTGGCTCCCTGTTCTGTCTTACTTTGAATAAAACAGACCAGTATTAAAGGTAAAGCCTGCTTTTCTTCTTCTTCAGATCGGCTGCTTAAACAGCCCCTTAGTAAACACTCACAGACTCATGACGTCTTCTAATAAAAAAGAAGTTAACAAATTATTCCCATCATAATTACCCGGTTATTCTTCTATCTGAGCTTCCATTTGTACATGTCACCAGAGGCCATCTTTATCATTTGTGGTTTGTTTGATACGAATAAAAACATTTGTCTCGCCTTAAAGCTCCTGCGAGAAACTCTTGGGGTTTGTTGTTTTTGGCGCCCCCTGTGGATTAAGTATATTTATTATCTCTTTCCTGATCTCTTCCTGTACACATATAAGTAGTGGGTTTTTTTTTTTTTTTTTTACAATAACAGTCATCCTTTATTCATTGTTCTGTCTAACATGCAACTCAGATGCATATATAGCATAGACACCCTGTGCATCATCAGCTCTTTATTGCCCTGTCTGACGCCCACCCTGCGGCACGGGTGATAGGTATATAAAAAAATAACTATATAGAAATAATCAATCTTAATGCTGAAGGTTTCCACTACTTTTAGAGGCATCAGAGTAAATTATAGTCTGTTTCATTACAAACTCAAAACTCCTCACAGGAGCTTTAAGAATGATATCCATTCCATCTGCAGAGTCCCTTTGCTCCTTTAAGAAAAAACTAAAGACCCAGCTCTTTATGAACACCTACTGTACAACCTCAATGATGATGATGATGACGATGGTTTTGATATAATTGATGATGTTTTCAAGATGGTTCCTACACTGATTAGAACTCTCAAGAACTGCCGTCAATGTTGTGCAATGCCTGTCAGCTCCTGACATTCTACATTTTTTAAATAAACCAAATAGCATACACATCAATTTTCCTCACAGCATCCAACAGAGAGCAGTTGTACTAAATAGAGAACATTGAGTTTGTGTCTTTCAGCAGTCTCATAAAGGTCTGAGTGAATTGCAGGATCTGTGTGCGTGCATCAGTTGACGGAGACAGGCGGTACAGCAGGTGAGGAGAAAAGGCCTAAAATGTTCCAGGGACTAGAAAAGGGATCAGGACAGAGGAGGAAGAGGTTTTAGCAGAGTATGAGCAGGAGGAGGAGGAGGAGGGTTAGAGCTTCAGAGGAGACAGACTGGAGAGAGACGGGGCTTAGAAGTTGTCAGAGGTTCGGTATTCGTGACTGTGGGGCTCAGTCAGCGGGAGTTACAGTCCCTCTGAGACCTCACACTGTTTAACTCACTTCTATAGAAATGGCAGGATTCATTGCGTGCGTTTCTGGGTTAAAGATGTGGATTTTTTTTTTGTGTGTTTTTCTGAATGTCAAACCCTTTTTATTTGATGCATAAATATCGACTCTGCATTGGAATGAGTTGTGTATTTAATTGCATTCAATCCCAAATAAACAAAACATGCTGCAGGATGGTGAAATTGGAAAAAGTGGTGATAAGAGAGCCTGCATTGTGCTATAATCAATACCCTGTGTGAATAATGCATCATCCGCCCCATCACATTATGCATTGCTGATGTCAAACTTGTGATTCATTCTTGTTTGTTTTGTCAATGCACAGAAAATCCGGCACAGGCGATGAATCGATTTCACTTCCCAGCACGTATTCTTTTTTAAATTTTTTTTACAAAGCTGCCTCTTATTATTCAGATTCAGGGTCAGCGAGGACGCCTATCACACAGATAACATGATTATCATGTAAATAATAACAAAGAAAAGTCTGTGATTAAGTTGCTTTCTGTGAGCGCTCGGTTTGCATATGCGTAGCTGTAGCTCCGTGTGTGTGTGTGTGTGTGTGGGTGTATACAGTATGTATGTTCAGACTTATTTATTGCCGCTCATATCCTCCAGTGAGATGCAGCAGCAACCATCAAAGAGCCAATTTAGAGAGCTGCTGTGCTTCATGTGCATCCCTCTGTTACATCTACACACACTTATTCACACAGTTTGATTATATATCAGGATGTTTATTCCAAATTAGCACCTGGTATCTATAAAGACATGGAAATTATGATTTAAACATGTAATTTTTCAACACAAAAGCAAGGTAATAGCCTACGCATATTTACATCTGTACCCTAGAAAATGCTAGTTTAAACAAATTGCCACTTGCTGCCATGAACAAAACATTTCAGTACCCTGAATGGTGCGTTTGTGTCACACAGACTTCCTGTTGTAGGAAGTGTAGGGAGGAAGCATTTTCTTCAGGCCTTAATGAAATGTTCAGTCAGGTACGAAGTTATCAAGAAGATGACTTGTTTATATGGAATATATCAGTTGATGGTACTTGGGGGAAAAAAGCTGGAAACCCCATGCTGTAGTTTGTTTTTGATTTTAAGAGAGGATTTTGGATCAAGATGTTCTAATGAGTAAAAGCCTGAAGCAATGAAAAAGCTCTTCTTCTGCTTCCTTTGACAAAACCTGAACATGATTAATAAATACCAAGCAGTGAAGTGAATATTCGATCATTTTGGAGTCTTAGTTCCTCATATTGATAGGCCCACCTGTAGTTAAGTAATGACAGATAAAAAAAAAAAGTAGGCTAATCATAAAAAATAGCCTATATATTACTAATATTTAAAAGCTGTAGTTCTATATTAAATATGGTGTATGAATGTTGTATTACTTTGAGGTCTGGCTTACCATAAAAATAAGCTCACCGTAAGGAACCAGCTTAGCTAGCTTTAGCGGCAGAGCGCGTCTTGTTGAAAAGTATTTGAAAAATGTTTCTTTAACTTTTCTGGTTAACATTTTCATAAACCTTCGACACCAAAAAAGTAGCCAAAAAATATGTGTTGGTAAAAAAAGGCTAACATTTTGCTAGCCTTGGCTAAACTTCATTCTCTGCTAGCATTGCACTGTTGTCGCAAGCTAGGGTAACATTAGCAGCTCTGTCCTGTTTTCCTTAAAGACAGTCTGAGAAAACTACAGTTTTGGATTTTATGGAACTGCTTTTTAGTTTTTTCTACTTAAACACAAAAAGTGGCAGTAAAGCATGATTGCTAACACTATGCTAGCTTTGACTAACTCTGTTCTCTCGTAGCACTGCACTGTTGTTGTTAGCTATTGTAACACATATGATTCATGAAACATTTCTTCTCCATACTAGGTGAATGTTTTGAAGGAGAAGAGCCAAGTGGGCAATATTTTTAGGGGGAGGCTTGTAACTTTATCGGGAAAGTGCAAAAACAATGACCTTCCAATTCAGTATTTTAGTTAGTAGGCTAACCGAAGCGTTCACATATCTTAATAATTCAAATTACTGTAGACATGAAATGACATTTATAAGCAAAATCTGCTCTGGGTTTATTACCACATTAGGTCTTTGATTAATCATTTAGTCTTTAAACTCAGGGTTACAAAATCACCGTTCTAAACAGCAGATATGAAATCTTTGCATTACTTGTTTTGTCTGATCAACACAAAAAAAATAACTGGATCAAAACGTAAACAAATGAGAGCAAAGCAGCTAAGCCTCATGTTTGAGAAGCTTAAACAGAATTTCTAATATTTTGCTCTTGATCAATGATGAATGATTATTAAAAATGTTGACCGGGATTATCAAACATGAAGCTAAATGTCAGTGCATGGTAGGACTTCCTGTAATTGTTTTTTGGGTCTTACTTTGCCTGTTTGCTTTGATCCTTGAATTATAGTGTTCAAATGTTGATATCTTTCATAATAAGATGTTACAGACAGTAAAGAGACCTTCTTTTTTCTTTCAATAGTGCATCGCTCTAGGTTAGTGTACACTTAATTGATCAATAGTTCAGCTCTGTCCCTGAATCATGAAACATTGAGAGCATGTGGGAATATTTGGGAGGAAACACCATCTGTCAAACACCAGACCGAACAAAACCAGCAAGACTCTACATACTGGAATTCTTCTCCCGTGTCTCTTTACCGTTATTATTTTTCCACCTGAGGCTTTTCCTGCATCGATTCAGGGTGACAAACCAGCACAGGCAGGCTTGACTCTAAATGCATCCTGTCTGATTTCTGTATTTTTGTGTTGTGCGCTGAACGTGACCTCCTTTTAAATGACGGGAATATTAAAGAGCAAACAGAAGCTACAGAGCCCCGGATAGAGACGCCAGCAGGCAGCTGCTGCGCTCTGTTTTATCATCAGACATTTTCTTTTTTTTTTTTTTTCCTGAAATATAAATAAGCAGAAGAGCTGACAGAAGTCGCTCAAACTGAAAGAAGACACGCACAAAGGAGGCTTTTGAACTTTTCTGTAGGTAACGGCTTGTGTCACCACATTAGAGAGGAACTGTGACTTTGTTTAATTTTAACTCTGTGAACTCGTATGGATAATTCACACATGCTGCCTTTGTTCTATTCCGCCTTTCTTTTAATGTCTGTTTGCTCTTTTGCCTCTTTCTGAACGTCTTTATATGTAGGTCTGTGTCTGTCTGTGTGTGTGTGTGTGTGTGTGTGTGTGTGTGTGTGTGTGTTTGCAATACATCTCCACACCAGAGTCAAGAGTAGAACACGTAGCAACTGTCTTTATTGAACACCAGCATTTTAGAAGGTAGGGATTTAACATATATATAGTTGAAAGCCTACAAGAAAAGTAATTTAAATATTTATATATATCTTTACAAATGTTCATGGGCGACTCGGAGAGCTCGTGTCGGCTAAACTTGCGATCCAGGGGGAGTGTACAAAGATAGACATGCACAGGGAAGAGGAACGACGGCGACCGCAGAGTCACCTTTTACAAAATGGCTGAGTTGGACCCTTCTCTCTCTGTCTCTCTCTTTATCATTCACATATTCACACACACTCACACACACACACACACACACACACACACACCACAGTGTAGCCTATAACCTCAGGCAGTGGTGTCACATCCTGAAACAGTCTCTTGAAAAACACACTGGTTGCTTTGCTATGGCACTGATTGTACGACAAAAATAAATCAAAATAAAGTCTGCTCGGTGGAGTTCAGGTGATCTCACAGGTACAGGGGAGGGGGGAGGGGGAGGGGGGGGGGGGGTCAAATGTACTTTATGTGTTTTAGAGCTGCATTGATTAATCAGTTTATTACATGAGTGATTCAAAGAGCACATTTTTAGATAATCATTTCATAGTTTGGTGATTTTTCAAACAAATATTTCAATCATTTGCTAATGAAAAAACAAGTTTGTTGATTTTTCCATTTTTCTAAATAAAGTCTTTTGATTCTTTTGGTTTGACAAAAGAAACAATTTGAAGACTTCTCTTTGAGCTCTGGGAAGATGTTAGACTTTCACGTTCCGACATGCTTGATTAAGGGCTGCAATCAGGACATCACCCCCAAATTGAATGTATTAAAAGTGGTTGGAAAGTGAATTAATTTTGGTTAAGTTCACTGAGAATGGGTAAAAAAAACAAAGAGATTTTACAAAAATAGAAAAAATGAACCTCCAGAGGACCAACCAAAAGAGTTTCAATTGTTTGTATCTTGCAGAAAAGCAACACCTGACATAGCTGGGTTGAGATCAAATTACCAAAAGAACCCCTCTAATGTGTGTGTGTGTGTGTGTGTGTGTGTGTGTGTGTGTGTGTGTGTGTGTGTGTGTACCCCCCAGTACTGGAAAACTGTGATGTCAGCATGTCTACCTACTGTTTCCAGAATAAAGAAATAAAAGTATAAACAGTCCTGGATGAGTCAGCCGACTCCATGGTGAGGCTCCTCCACTGTCATTACAATCACACACACACACACACACACACACACACACACACATACATGCAGACACACTTATGAACACACGCCCTGCCAAACAGGGTTATCACTCGTTCATCTGGATGTCTTGTTTGGGACACTTCGGGTTGGAGTTACTTGTCAAAAATAAGATAAATAAATTAAAAATAAATAGGAATTGTCCCAAAGAAGAAAACGTATGAGGCACACACACACACACACACACGTGAGCACACACACACACTCCTAAATGTAACGCTCCAAGGCACGGGGACCAGGTGTGGGGGGGCTACTCAGTCTTTTCCGTTTTCCCATCTTTGCTCTGCGACTCGGCTGTTTTCCGGAGCTGCGTCTTTTCCGAGCTGTTGTTGATCTGTTGGTCGTTCGGCCCGCTCGTCTTCCCGCTCGAGTTCTTGTCCAGGTAGTTGAGCATCTCGCTCAGGACCGTCTGGAAGGTGCTGAGAGCCGCGCAGACCGCCGGCGTGCCAAAGCCGTGAGTGATCAGACTGTGAGGGAAGGGAGAAAATCAGGAAAATGAGACACGTTTGTTTGAGTCAGGTGCAAAAAGAAGAAAGAAATCAGGTGTACAGTGAAGGTTCATTCCTTGTCTTCCCTCGGATTATTCTCCTGCAGAGAAACTTTTCTCTCTCTGCCTTCAGGAGCTTCTAATCCTCCTTAAAGAGTTCCTTCAGTCAGGCTATCCCCTTTCAGAGCCGAGTTTAATGTCCTCTGATTTTCTAAATGCAGCTTCTGCAGTCTTTGATAAGGGAACACTGTGCTGTTGAAGTCAGTTCTAGGCTCTCATCTTACCAGGTTAAACATGCAAAATTCATTTGGTAGATAATGTACAGAAAGTTATCAGCTACTTGATGATAATTATTCTGTGTTTAATCCATTGCTCAAGCACAAAAAAGCCAACCAGCTCCCTGTTATGTGTACACTGTTGTGATTATTTCAGGACATTTGAAGACTCATTCTCAGGCCTTTGGAAGTTTAAATTAGCATTTTTCTCTAATATTTAAGATTTTGCAGACTTTAAATTGAATTCAGAAAAAAAAAAAACATGAATTTCACACTTTATTCTCCGTCCCATAGTGTAGCTAGAGGAGTCCTCAAAGTCTGATGTAAAAAAAAAAAGGTTGAAGTGCTAATGCAAATAAATATAAATGTGTTTGAATAGTTGAGCTCAGGTCGTGTTTTTTTTTTTGGATCATCAGATAAAACTGTACATTCTGCAAAGAGTGACGCCATAGAAGTGACATTTCTCCTCCTCCTCCTCCTCCTCTGTCATTTGTGCCAAGAAACAAACTGCACAGCTGCATCTTTTTCAAAAATGGCAACGCGTTTGGAGCCGCGTTTTATTTCTTAAACTGACTTCATTTAAGGAACTTTTTCTTTTTTTCCCACTCCAACATATCATCATTCAATGTGCGTAGAGAGCAGGTGAGCCTTACCTGAAGTGTGTGAGGTGTCTCTGGATGTCCAGGTCCAGGATGGGGGTGGGTCTTGAGGAGCCCAGAGGAGAGCGGTCTTGGCTCAGTAAGTCCTGGAACTCCTTACAGATTTGCCTGATGGACAGAAGGAGGGAGGGAAGGAGGGTTTACCATCTGTCTGCTACACAAGCGGCACAATTTGGGCCTCTTTTTTTTTTCTCCCTCCTTTTATTTTCCCGCACTCATCCTGCTCATTTTGCATCAACACAAAAATAAATTCCTCCCAGGAAGCACTTGAAATAATTAGCACATGCACGAGTAAGAAAAGTTCAATGTCAATCGAAAAGCAAGTGGAACAACGCTCAAAATCTGAAAACATTCTGCAAAATATAGAGTCAAAGTTGGTTTTCTGCAGTGGTTCAGGTTGCCTTCTCGAATTTTAGTCCATGTCCAAACTTATTGTTGGAAAAAAAATAATTTATCAGAAAAGAAAATCAACTTATTTGGAAAGAAGCGGGAGGTAGTGCTTGTCAGAAATAGCAGTAAAAGGATCTCATACTATTAAAGTATGCCTGATAGCCCCGAAATGTGCGAGCAAAATATCTTAAAAATCAAATCGAATAGAATCTTTTTGCACAAAGTGTATGGTGGGAGATTGTTCCAACTCATGATACTCTTCCCAAAGTTTTTGCTTTTATGTTTTAGCATAATATTCCTCTTGTTAACCAAACTTCCCCTCAGCATCTCTTCCATTTTTCCTCCATTTTCGGCCTCTCTCACAGATACTCAATACCCGCTTGCTGTGAAGCTTTCTTGTTGTTGAACGCGTTGCTCGGAGCTCTGTTTATCAAAGCATTGCTTCTAAAATGATCAATTTTTATCTCGGCTGTGTTGCAGCTGTGAAATTGATCGAGTTATTCACCTACACCTATAGACCCGCAGCCAAACAACAACTTCAGGTCTGGACCCTTTTCACATGATGGGTCCATGATAGCAGAGAAATAAAGACCTTTATATAAGAGAGTTTAGGAATAAAAAGTCTATCCTGCAGAGAAGTTACAAAAACAATTAAATCACTCTTTGGAAGTGATTTCTCTAGCCCCTTTCACACATGCACTCCACTCCTGGAAATTCATTTCCCAAACTTTTCCGGGTGGGCAGCAAAGGGACACATTTTTAAAGGACTTTATCCTTCCAGCTTCCCGGTAAAAATTCTGCAAGAAGTCAGGATGAGCGGCCCTTGAACGCAGCAGGTGATAGTCAGGAAAAAAGTGACTCGTAACTGAATGAATAAAACATCAAAACCACGTTATGCTGCTTCTTACTCTGTTATATTTACTCACTATGTTGTTTCTCCACTCTCTTGTTGATACTGTGAATACGTCCAGTAACCCATAGCAAGGTAAAACTGTCATCATAGCATCAGCCACTGTTTTGTCAGCCATCTTGGATATGTTGAATACATTACACAGTGACTTCATAAACGTCCTTTTAACGTAATGCCCTACATTCTGAGACCCACGGCACGGAAAAATCTCCCGCTGTGAGGGACATGTGCGGTTTGTCAAGCGAATCTCGGAGGCAGATTTTCCTGAAGTTTCTTGACATTCTCAGGAGTGCATGTGTGAAAGGGGCTCGTGCTGCTTTATTAATGTGTGTTTGTGTATATCTGCAAGTGTTTGTATCCTTACTTTGTGGCCAGAACCATCTTCTTGCGTGCGCTGGTTTCTTTCGGCTCGCTGTGCTGCCTCGCCAAATGTTCCCCCACCGCCTTGCTGGGAAACTCTGTCTCGCAGGTGTAGCCGAAGTCCCGCGCCAGGTGGAGCGCCTCGCCTGAGCACAAAGCAACAACAAAAAAAAACACTAATTAAGCAATGCTCTCAAATGATTAAATATGAAAAGTTTAATAGACAATAAGGTAGAACCGAACAATTCAGGACACACAGTTCCTTACCTTCCACCAGGGAGGTGAGCAGAGTGACGTTGGCAGCTTTCCTTCGTCCTGCCGGCAGGTTGAGGCCCAGACGGTCTAACTTCTCCCGAAGACACCGGCCTCCGTTCTTAGACTTTGCTCTGCGGGAAAATGAAAAAAAAAAAAACTTTTTTCACATGACATAATCAACAGCATCCACTCAATGTCATCATGTCCCTTCTTTTGTCTTACAAAACTGAAAGCAAAAGACAAAAGTAATCATCCTGCCTCTTCAAGAAACAGGTTTTAATCACGTCTTACATGTGAGGCTTGAGGAAATATAGATTTGCTTTGATGTGTCAAAGGCATAAAATTAAAACATAAAATCAAAGGGTGTAAAATTAAAACATGTCGCCTGATTGTACGCTAAATGTGCTTCCTTTATACGTCGACGATATGATTACATGCCCGCCCCCCCCTGAGTTTCCCCTGTCATAGTTTGAGTTCCCAAAGAGAGAAGTTCTATTTTGGAGGAGCGATGGTAGGAACAACAGTCGCTGTCAATTTTTCATCTTTTATGTAAAAAAAATTTTTGGAAACGTTGGCGCTTCATTCCTGTCCGATACAAAACGAATAATCCTACTGGGATATTTTTGTTAATAGAATCACGGAGAAACGAGTCAAAACACAGCTCATCTTCACTCTTGTAAAAGCACATTCTTGACATAATTTACTCCAAATGAATCAACTCATCTGTTTTTTTTTCCCCTTTGTTGATGCTTCCTCTTGTAGACCCGGCCATATTCTCTCTGCCCTCCCCCTCTCTCTCTCTCTCCTCTTCCTCTTCCTCCCCCTTCTCTTTCGCTCTACCTCATCAATAATACAGCGCTGGCAACTCTTGCTTTCCTCTGCTTCCTCTGATCCTGGCATGCTTTGGCCTGGTCTCGCCTCCCTCTGGCTCCCTGGGCATGGCGGCGCGTGCAGCCCCGGCCCCTTGCTCGCCTACAATAGTCTTTGTGGACGCTGCACTGTACATCCTTGTGTTTCATCTGAGGGGCTACACAGAGTCAGGCGGCGCTCTCCAGTGTTCACCAAACAGAATCAGGCTTTTAATAAATACTGTTTTGCTTTACAATCCTTCCTATATGACACTTGATTCCTTTACTTCCTTATTCTTGCTCAAGTTGATAAAATCACAGAAACAGCCTCGCAACAGAGTCACTTTTGTCATGACTTTTTCTTTAAGTTGTTGAGGCTTTGTTAGTTCACATCATGCACAACCAGGTGTTCCCTTTGGTCTTCATCCTTTCACAGTTACACTCCAACACTTCTATCCTTCTATATTACTTCTCCTGCAGCAGGATGGACTCCATGTTTGTGAAGTTTTGTGTCTCTTAATTCTCCTGGGATCTTGTTGAGAGAACATGAACATTTTTGTAAGGTCCTCTGCTTTTAAAAAAGATGAAATGGCTCCACAAAAATGCAGTAAGATAAGGTTTGAATTTAAATATTTGTGTATGTCAGGAGCTTCGAAAGACTCCCTAGTTTGATTTTAATTCAAGTCAGTAAATCAGTGTTCTTTCTTGACTGTTGTGAGGTGCTGTGAGGAATTCCCTTGAGTGCAGTCAAATTCCTACAGTGTGTGTTCGTGTGTAACTGACCTGCGAAGTATGCCCCCCAGTAAGGAGGCGTTGAGGCACTCTGGTGGGGACAGTCTTCTTTTCACCTCTGCGATGGTCACTTTGTACTTGGAGGTGGAGCTGAGCAGCGACAGGCGGCCCGGTACGGAGCAGAACAGATCTGTAGGGTTCACCACACATGTCCCGCCTGCACACAAACACAAACACAGCTGTTAGAACAGAACCAACAGCAGCACCGACAAACTGTTCTCAGGCGTTTTAAAGAGGTAACCAAACAGTGGAGATGGGAATTCTGACAACAACATCATTGGGCATTGGCTTATATCACTGTATTGCCGTAAATATTTTCCCTAATAGGCGCCGTGATAGAAGTTTATTTAAAGGAATATGCAATGTAGAAAACAATGTTTACTATATTTAAAAAGAAAATATGACGAGAGTGCACGTCGGCTTTAATGTTTGCTATCAGCTGTTTATAAGCTTGTCAACATGTTCTATACTTTTCCATACTACATGTTGTTTTGAAAAGAAAAGATCCCTCACACTACTCTTACTAAGCATCACCAATTCATTAGACAAAATCACAACGCTTCAGTCTTCAGTGTGTGAACAGTCAACACCCTTGAGAAAAGTTTCAGAGGGACCGAAACATTGTGATTTTCTTCTAATAAATTGGTGAATGCATTACACGGTGACAAGAGCAGTGTGAGAGATGACAGTTTGATGGTCCTGCGCACCGACTTCAGAAGATAGTTGGATGTGTGATCACCTCCTTAAAAACATTGATTCAATGCTGTAAAGTGATACAGTCTTATCTTAATGATCGATATTATCAAAGTACAGACGCTTTAAAAAAGTACAAATCTTCGGTCATACTGGTGGTATGTTCCAATTCACTGGAAGAATCAACTGGACTATGAGTGACTATAATAACTATAATTTTACAAATACCATGGCAGCATTTCCATTGTATTTGTTCAGTTTAGAGGAGTTTGCTTTCAATTTTTGTTTATACAAACAAGAAATTACCCAATACTGGAGACCTAGGACTTCTGTTTTTGTATCCATATCGTCTGATTTTAACTAGTATCATAACGTTGGTATCATTACAATCCTAACTCTTTCTGCAGCATACGATGTCCACACTTGTATTGCTTGTTGAATATTGTATTTAGTAGAGTTTTTTTGTTTAAGAAATCAACTTTCTGAGTACCTATGCAGACCCATAACCGTGCAAAAATGGCAAACGAGCATCAAATACATGGTCTCTTTCATCCCAGGTCATAAATGTGACTGTATCTGCCGCCTTATTTTGGATATGTGAATTATATTTCTCCACTAAAATAGGTTTTCAGTCTCCGAAATCCCATATCAGTCAGGCTCTGATGTTAACATTAACTACCCTTCTCTTGTCATACACACTACACATTTCCATTCACACTGCCTCTAACACAAAATAAAAGATGCAGCCGGTTCGGATTGTTTTAATGCTCATTGATGACCATGTATCCCCAGAAAGTCCAATTTTCTTTGGACTAAGAAAGAAAGCCATGTTCTACTTTTTTTTTTTAAATGCTGCTTAAAGAAATAATTCATCTCTGTTTAAAGCTTCATGAAGTACCTACATGCCTCTGTGTAGAGTCTAATGTTAGGTACAAACATCCTTTCACAACAACATTAAATGTATCGCTATTCTTACCTAACGTCTGGCATTTAGATAAAACTCATTATAATTAAACGTGTTTTAATATAAGATTTAGTGTTATTTTTGAAGAGGTCCTTTGAAAATTGGTATTCTGTCAATATGAATTAGCATTATGTCAATAAAACAGTTTATTTACTAATTATTTAGTGATCGTGATTTAACAGTTTATCAAAACAGAAACCAAGAAACAACAACCAGACTCTCTTCTGGATGGTCAGTCTCACTGTGTGTGTGTGTGTGTGTGTGTGTGTGTGTGTGTGTGTGTCTGTGTGTGTGTACGTAAACATTCACACAACAGGGCAGCACACTAAACTTCATCAGTAAACTAACATCTACCTAACTCCTTCACAAACGTCCTGATGTAAAATATACAGCCATTGAAGCAGAAATAATCTAAAGATTTATAGTAAAACATGTTCATTATAAGGGTTTTGTAAAGAGTCCTAAAAGCACTGATAAGTTAAATGCAGTATTAAGTTTCTCATTTTAAGCTGAATTCTACAAGTAATAGAAGATTTTGTATTTCTAAGAGAAAATCTGGTTTTCCTTTTGACTTCATGTACGGCTTACAGGTTACTGAATGTTTCAAATAAAATCCTTTAACCGTTTGGAAAAGCCCCAACTCACAGAAAATACGTGAAGAACTTAAACTATAAAAATGTTGTATGACTGTATCCTCTCGAGGGTATTCATTAGTTTTATGAGCATGGGATTGTTCACGATACAGTTTGAGACATTCAAACATTGAGACTTTTTCCCTCTCAGGATGCAGATATTTGCATTATTTTTGCGCCATTGTTTTTAGTGAGTAGCTGTGTATAAACTTAGAATGAGCCTGAGGTCTCCCTGGCTGTAATTTGTAAAAATCCCACATATATCATCATGATAAACAATTATAAACCACCTAGCCATGATCAGTTCAGACATTGAGTTTCATTTCCAGCTACAATAATGTGTAAATTCAGTCTGTGTGCAGTAGAATCTTCACTGTAAATGGAAATATGTCCTTCCTTAAAGCTTTTCATTATCCAAATGAACAATAACACTCAATACTTTAACATTTATCACTCTCTTACATTAATCCTCGTCCTTTGAAAACCATGCACTATCGGCTATATTACAGTAGATTAATCAGATAACACAATATTATTTCAATCCCTTCATGATGTCTTCATGATCCCTTCATGAGGATTATTTCTTCAAAGATTGTCCAAAAAAAATTGAAATAAGAAAATATTACAGACGCATTTTTCACAGTGAAACTACGCCTTGCTTGTTCTCAGCTTTTTGCAGCGATGAGCTGTAAATATAGCCTACCAGTTATATTTGCATACAGTTTAAATCAAAGCTCAAGTATGAGCAGAGAAGTCAGTAATATTAAATTCAGACTTGTTCCATGAGATCAAATATCTTCAATCACCACTTGTAATATCAATGCATTTCAGTATTCCTACATTTCCCTGGTTAAATATTTGATCAGGTTTTGTACTATGTACATATAATGTGATATCTATTTCAGCTCAATATTTGTCTGTCTGTAGGAAAAGTCAGCTTTAATCCCAGAAGGGGGGAAAGCAAACCTCCTTTTAATCACCTTCCACCATCCTCCATGTTGATTTCACTGAGGCTCCTGCGTGTGTGAATAAGTGATTGCTGTTGTAATAGTGAAGGCTCTTTCACATTATTAATTGCATCTGAATCAGTGTTGTTGAGTCCTCCTGGAATAAATCTGCTGTTCTGAGTAGGTCTATTATTATTAAACTTTCACTTGAACTAACGTCCCAAGCAGCTGAAACGCAAGGTTTCTGTCTGATGTACTGTAGGCTATATTCTATTATTCATCTCCCTCATTATCAAATCCAACAGCAGGGCGTGTCGCTTTGTTATTGGGCCCTGCTTGGTTTGATGGAATGAAGGGAGGACGCCATTTAGGCCGCATAAAAAACAACGCTGCAGGCAAAGATTGGCCAGTCATTTTGGGGGCAATGTGGACAATTTGGCCACTAGCAGAGCTCTAAAAAAAAAAAAATATGACCTATATTTTATCTCTTGAAATCAATTATTCATAATGAGCAGAGATGTGCTGGGTTTTTTTCTGGCCCGCAGGAAGACCTGTAGCTTCAGAAACATGTTCAGCACCATGGACAGCGGCGTCCACCTTTCATTTCAGCACCTTGGACAGAGCCTCGCGCCCACAGCACCACTGTGACATCATAATGGAGTGCCAACAAAAAGCCTGTTGTAGTCCAGCGGGCAGCGCTTTTATACAAGGCTGTATGGGACTTGTATTTCACCCAGGCAGTCAAAAAGTAGACGCTAGGGGATCGAATATTATTGTTTAAGCTTGGACTTGTGTGTGTGTGTGTGTGTGTGTGTGTGAAGTCCGGCTCGTCTGTGTGTCTCTCTCTGTGACACAAACCGGGCAGACCTGTCTGTCAGCCTCACGCGCTCTGACAGGGGCGCGCGTCTCTGAAAAGCCGCGAGTTCACATCATATTAATTCCCCTAAAAATGTTTTGATTCAAAGTAGTTTGTATTTTATGTTGCCAAGGGCAATCGAAAAGAGCTATTGCCGGTAGTGCAGTGAGTGGAGCGCGCCGGCGGGCCCAGAGGCGATAACGGTATTTAAGCAACGGAGAGTAGCCTGGGGCTGCGGCGCGAGCGGCGGGCGGGATCACACGCGGAATCAAGCGCCTTTTACGAGTTTGCCACGAAAATTAAAGAAAAAGAAACACGGGCCAAATGTCATCCTCCTCATATTTTAACAACAATGTTTATAGCGCCTTTAAAAAAAGAAAAAAAAAAACCCGCCAATGTCTTGACAGAAAAAAAAAAAGAGGAGGCGTGCACGTGCTGTAGTGGCGGAGGGGCGCGCGCCTGACAGATCAGCTGCTGTGCTCGAGCTGAAGTGGAAAAAAGGGAGAGCAGGGTGATTAAAAACACAGACGACTCCTCCTAAGTAGGATCCGCGTTTCTTGAGTGATTTTCTTTTGAAAAAGGTTATGTGAATATTCATGCCGCCAAAGCCGCAGTCAGAAAGAACAACATTAATATGATCTCGGCTGAATCCGGGGCCCCCGCTCGGCATTAGCATATCAAAGCGTCCGCCCGAGGCGAGAGAAGCTATCGATACGGGGAGCGGGAGGTAAAGCAAAGATTATTGGTTGTGATGGTTGCAGCGGCTGAGCTCAGGGCCAAATACGGCGCACCATTAACCGAAAGTGATAGCGGAGGGATTCCCGCGTCAATCCGAGAGAAAAGCCCCAACACCTAGGCTGAGCTGATGAAAAATTAAACCTGAGACACAGCCTTCCTCTCTGTGTGGAAAACTACACATGCACAGACTGAAACAAAAACGGTGCAGGCTTTTTGTGGAGCCGGAATCGTGTTTAAACCCAAGACTCGGACCAGCCTGAAGAGAACCGAGTCCAAAGTCAGCATCCTGTCACCTGAGACGCCTTCACGGCCCTACTTGAAACAATTCCATTGCATCTGATTTAACATACAGGTTAGCCTGCATACAGGGAACAAGAATTACTGCACTGAAAAAAACAATTATTCACAGCCCACAAATAAATACATTGTGTGAAAAAAATAATGAATTTGCCCGGAAGCAACCACGTGCGAGTTAATATTAAAGTGGCTAGCCTACACATAAAAAATACAAGTTATCCTTGATTGCCCCTTTAGTTTCAAATCATTTTCTAATAGCCTATATATTCACGTTATCTTTCTAGCTTGACAATGGAACTGAATTGGAGTGAATTGACCATTTTACAAAGGCTACATGATTATACACCTGCCTGTAGGATACATATGTTTCTGGTGATTAACATGTTAAATCAAACACCTACTTGGACTTAAATCTTGTTAAATTAATTTAATCTGTGGTTTCATACCAGCTAATGCAGATAAGTTAGCATGGATAATTGGGCTACTCTTTGTATTAGGGTCTCCTTGTTTGATTTTGATGGATAAACTCATCCACAGCGATAGAAGAGGATTATGCTGAATTTATGATTCTAGAAAAATACAAATAAATATTACATTAAAAAAACAAAAACAAGGTCTATTAATGAACAAAATCAAGCCGTCAAAATTCAGCCTGCAGGTTTGACTACAAAGAGGAAGTGTCTAATGTAACACCTGCACAAGCCCCTTACTATCAAATCAGTGCCATATTAATTCATGACTTTGTTGACATTGTACTTTTCTGGGGGGGGGGAATCAATATTTAGAGTCGCTGGTAAAAAAAAGAAAAAGAAAAAAAGGCTAGGTGTTGAGTGACAGTGAATAGGAAGCGCCTGCACACTGCAGTGTGAGCGTTTAAATAGGCGAGAAAATGGGGCCGTTCCTGCTGTAACGTGTTGACAGCAGACAAGAGAGGGGAGTGTTCCGCCTGTTTGTCTGTCTGCTCGCTGTCTTGTCGTGTCGCGTCGAGCCGTGAGAGCTTCACGGCCCTCCGGTAGACTAGACTACAGCAGAGAATAAACAGGGAACCTTTTTTCTTACCTCTCCGGATGACGCCCCCTTGGCCGTTCAGCACGAGCCCACACTGCGCCTCCACGGAGCCCTGCAGAGACAGAGCTCTCATTAAGCACCGAGCAAAGGAGGTGAAATCACTTCTCCACATGTTTTCACACCGCTGCAGCTCACTTTTTACATCAGCTGTCACACTCTGAGAAACACGTGAAATGAATTGTGTTTGTTGGTTTTTTTTTTCTCCTTGAGAATGGTGGTGCATGGACATGCAGTGCAAGATTTTTAATTCATCAACATTTACACACAAAAAGAAAGAGTATTACTCTTTGACAATCTTTTTCATGCAGTAATAAAACTGACACGATAGAATGAATGCAACGTGAAGTAAATGGAACTATGACGTGCCTCCTTTTTGATACTACATAAATCAGGGTTTCTGTTATTTTACTTGAATGGCAGCAAATTTGACAAGTTGTCATGAGTGTGAGTGATGTTCCCTGCTGGATTGTTTGATTTTTTTTTAGAACATTTTAGACACTTTAAGGTGATTGAATTCAGAATTTAACAAGAAAATAACATGAGATCATTTTGATCAATTATCTCATCTGGATCAGGGATTTCTATGATTTGACTTGAAATGTAGAAAATTTGCCTCATTTGAATTAGTTTCCCCTCTCAGGTTGTATAAATATAAAACACTGAAGATACCTTAAGAGAATGCATCCATTATTTTACAATGAAACATTATAGAAATCTATACAGATACCTTATACAACTCAACTTGAAATGAAGCTAATCTGACAGTCTGTCATACGTTCAATGCAGTATGAATGATTCCCCCCTCTCAGATATTTTAATTTTGATAATTTTAAGAATCCCCAGGGTTAATTAAGTCAGTATCTTTAATAAAACGTAAAAAAGGGAAATGTTTTGGTATTTATTTCCGATGGATCATTCATTAAGGTTTTGCTTGAAATGCATGCTTCAACTCTTTGTCATGTTTTTATTTCAGCCTCATTTAATTGGCTCTCTCAGGACATTTTATTTGAATAATGGAACCTATAGGATAAGTCAATAAAAAACTGTTTTTTAAAACAACATTGTAGGGTTTTCTCAAACAATAGGCTACAACATCTGGACCCTCAAATGTATCTTGTGACCCCTTTAAAGGTGTCCACCTCAGGTTGGGAACCACTACCTATGGGATCTTTAGATTTCCGTTCAGCACTTTCAGGTTAAGAAATATGAGCTCTCAACTTGTGGTTTTTAAAAAAAATAAATTGTCCATGTTTCACCCCGTTTGAACCAGTTCTGGGGCGCTGGAAGCTTTTTTGTTAGAAAGTGTACGTCACTGAGCAGCTTTGAGGAAAATTGAGGGCAGAGAGAAATAAAGGATGCAGCTCACGGATCACCCAGAAACGAGCTTAATTTGAAAGGCTGCAGGCTATAAGCGAGGACAGCAGCACTCATCCTGACTGAGAAATGAGAAACGAGTGTCCAGAGTTTGTTTCAGCCACCAACCTGTTGGGGATCAATCTGAAGCACACACACACACACACACAACAACAACAAGCAGCCTGTAGCACACACACACACACACACAAATATAGGCTACAGGGCCTACATGTATAGAAACCTGTTAACGTCGCCATTTTGGTCCAGATCAGACTCGCGAGCTATCAACAATGTCATCAAGAAAGGAGAACACGCGCTTTTTTATTCAGAAAACACTTAATCCCTCGTGCGAGCCTCGAGGCCTGGCCCACGCAGAAGCCCCCCTGATTAAAATAAACCTGAAAAAAAAAAGAAGCTTGTTGTAGCTCTTTCTTAACCAGCTCCTGCTCTGATTCTTTTCTTCTTACTCCGAAGCTAAAGTGATTATAAAATCAATATACAAAACGCAGAGGTCTTGCATGAATTAGCTTAGTGACGGGAGAAAGGTGTGGCAGCTGCTTTTGTTCACCATGAAAATCTCTTTCACGCGCTCAAAGATGCGACCGGGCTGCACGAGACCATAGGCGCATCTGTTCCCGTTCATACATCCGCCTCGTGCGAGTTCAGGTTCACGAGCCCTTTCTTTCTTTTCCTCAATAAAGGGTCAGACCTGTGGCCTTTCATGTGCCAAGCTTTAGATAACTATAGCATTAGCCGAGCGTATATCATAAAAAAAAAAAAAAATCAGATAAAATGTGCTAAAATAAACAGTATACCAACTTTGTCTTTAAAGTTGATTACAAAAAAATAAAATAAAAACATTTCATTACATTTGACCTATATTTTGTTTACATTATTTTGTGATTTATATTTTTATATTCCACTCAGGGGTTGCGTAAAAAATAGCCAAATCCATGCTGGCAAACTATAGCGATTAAATAAGAAATAATATAATTTATTTTTGCCTATATGAAAAAATGCTAAATAAATGTATCGATCCCTTAAAATAATCTGTAACCTAATTGTCTAATTAAAAACATTTTTTTGCTATTAATTTCATATACCTTTTCTCTAAGACATCACTGCCACACTCTTACAGGCTATAGTAAATACATTAATTCAATTAAAACTTATTAAAATAATAATTTGATTTTACAACTATTACAATATTATTAATCGTATAAAATAGAAGACTTTTCAAAGATATTTCAAAGGATGTTTTTGTAGCGTGATGACGTTTAAAACGATATCAAAAGCGTCACTTTATTGAGCTGAGTTGGTAAACACTTAACGTGACTGAAATGATGTGTCGCTGTCTTAAAGTGTGTTTAACCAGAGCCGTGTTTTAACCAGCTCAGATGTCGCTGCATAAGTAACAAAGTTGATTGACGTTAAGTCGGTAATTGGATAAACTACGGTGCTTTATGGCGCTCGGGCTGCTCATTGTGCCCTGAACCCCGATCCGTTAATCCGCCCTTTACCGGAGAATAGAGCAACCAGCGGCTTTTCTTTGCTTCAACAGACAGCCGGACACACACACACACTTTTGAGCACACACACACACACACACACACACACACACACACACACATTCACACTCAAGAACCGTGCGAATGCGTTTTCATCTCGACCATTTCTTTACATCGAAAAGAATTATGTAAAATATGGGTCACGTGTGTTTGTGGGAAAATAAAGGGCGGCTTTCACAATAGGATTTGTATAGACTGCCAGTCAATTAACCTTTAGAAACAGGCCTGCCTTTCAGAAGCTGTGCGCCGGCTGGACTTGACATTTACTTAGCCTGCTGTACAGTCACGTTTGGTTTGGCTCGAAAAATTATCTAAAGATGAAATCCAATAATATTATTTCCTCCCGAGTAAGACCGAGGAGTCAGGGGGCTGGAGTGAAATGTAAGACAGCTTAGTCAATGCCAAATACAACAGACAGATGAAGCAGACATCTGGCACTGTCTTTCTGTTCAATATTTTTTGGAATTGCTGTGTTGCTGGTACAATGGAGGGGAGAAAGGGGAGGGAGGGGGGTCAATAGTAGGCCAGTGGGGCAGGGATACTGGGCCTGAAGTGGCAGCTATGATGGTTCTGTTAGGGTGTCCTTTTAATAAACCACTACATTAAGGTGTTGGACCTGAGAGGGGAGAAGAGGGGGGGGGGTGGAGGGGGTGAGGTATGGCAGGAAAAGGGGGTAAGTGGCGGCCTCCGGTAGGCCTACCTGTAGGTCGTCTGATGCTGGAGGGAGACCCAGACCGGCTCCGGGCAGCAGCCTCTGGTCCGGGTGGTGCATGCCGACACCGTAGGCCTGGGAGCCGTGTGACGTCATCAGCGACAGGTCATGGCGCCGGTAAGCGTCGAGGCAGCCGAGCTCGCGCCGCTGCTGCTCGTCCAGGCACGAGGACTTGAGGGCCGAGCGCGCGTTGTGCAGGTTGATGAAGTCGGCGGGCTCCCCGTGGTGGATCTGCTGGTAGTACTGGCCCGAGTGCAGCGAGTTCAGGCCGTAGGCCTCCGGGGCCACGGCCGGGTGGGAGTGCTGGAACTCGTAGTGGAAGGACTGGTGGTGGAGGGGCGTGTACTGGTGGTTGGCCGAGAAGTAGGGCGAGGCGAACTCCGTCCCCGCCGGCGCCGGGTAGGTGAGCGGGGAGGAGGAGGAGTAGGCGACCGAGGAGTTGGCCACGGACTCCAGGCACCCGAGCTGCATGAGCCGGTAGCTGTTTGATCCGTCGTGACGTATCTACAAGATAATAAAGAGACGGGGGAAAATATATGAGCTGTGTCATTTAGCATCAGCCGGAGTCTTCCTCTCTCTCTGCCTCCCAAACACACTCCAAAAAACACAACTCACACACTCAAAGCGGTTTTTTTTTTCTCTTCTTCTTCCTACTTTAAACCACCTGAAGGAGATGTCACTTCCACACGCCCGGGAGGGGAACGAGCGCACGGCAACAGGAGCCATCGGTATTTTTTCCCTCCCTTTGGCGTGCCTGTCACTCCGCTCGCAGCGGTTTTAAAAAGGCGTGCTGTTATATATTATTATTATTACCGAAGCTGCCGGCGAATTTACTGTCCCAGCTCTCGCTCTCATTGTGGATGGGAGGTAAGCAGAGTGAGACACAGCGGAGTGTTCCGCCCTGAAATGTTCTAATCACACTGTTACCGGCTCACACATTAAAAGCCCCGTTTCACCGGCTGCTGTACTAACACGCACAGCTCTTATCTCCCTTCATGCATTTTATTTTCCTATCCATCTAATTGCTGCAAAATACTCCAGTTGGAGATTTCGTTAGAGGAGATGCTGCCTTCAAATGCCTCCGTAACTCTGCCTAAACCAAAACACAAAGTCTTCTTCTACGCTCCGGTTGCGATTGTATTGAATTAAAGGATATTAAGAAAATACATTTACGTACCTCTGCGTCGTGGACAAGTCCGGGGAAGGTCGCTGACATTGTGCTTCTCCAAAGTAACCAGTGTTTTTTTTTTCTCCCTCCGCTCTATGGCCCAGGTCGAATAATAATAATAGTAGTAGTAATAAAAATGCGTTAAAATCCTCAAAAAGCGAGAGAAATGGAAAAGTCCCCCCTCGCGCGCTCTCGGTAACGGCAGAAAGCAGGCGGAACGCGAGCGTCTCCCCTCTGCACGGACGGGGCTGGCGCACGGATTTTGTACTTGCAGGGTATTTCTCGGCTGATGTCGTAGGTCCCTTGGTAATATAGAAGTTTTGAAAATTAAGCATCAGCACTGAGGAATGGGAGGACAATAGACGGAGCGGAGCATCCCAGGAGACAAGGAATAAATATTGTATCTTCGCCTTAATAAGGAACCAAGTGCTTCTTTCAACAATTTCAACCCTTTTTGTGGACATTTTCCGTTTGTATTTTCACGAGGTCTTCTACCTGCTTTCGTCGTGTTATCATTTTTTTTTTCTTACACTCACTCCGGCGTTTTTACTAAAAAAAAAATGTATGGATTTTCAACGGAAATGTAAGTTTACTTTGAAATATTATGAAGCTAATTTCGACAATTATCACCGGAATAAAACATGCAGCCTATTTTCGTTTATTTCTGGAATGATCTTGTACTTCATTTAGAAAGCTTCGAGACTAGATTTCATTTAGAAACGGGGAGTTTTCGCTGCTTTCTGCATGCCTTACATCTAAGAATAGATTTTCATTATTTCAGTTTTTAGTCATGTTTATTAATACTGTTGTGTATTCTGATTTCAAAATAAAACAATAATAAAAACCTTCATTGGTATAGATTAATTCGATGTTTCCACAACAGAATAGATCAGATTTCATTCTTCAGACAATTAAATAATTGAAATAGCTTTATTGGAAATTAAATATTGAATAGAGGACTAGGCTACTTATTTCTTATTTTTCTAATTGTTTCATTTGCAAATCGAAAATGCTGTTCAATATTTTTATGATTTTGTGACTTTTTCTCACGCATGGAAACCACTTTTAATGAACATTATTCAATTTTTATGGGGGAGGGGTTAAGGGGGGCACTATTAGTTTTGCCATTGTGAATAACAAACAGAAGCACGAGACCTTTTTCTTTTCTTTTCAAATCAGCTTTGTGTAGAGGCGCGTGCATGGATACATAGTATTGATGATGGCGTGTGCTGCTTTTGCTATTATTTTTATAGATTATTCTTATTCCACTATATTCTTTATTATTATAATTATTCTTGTTTTATTATTATTATGTTGTCACTATTATCATGATTTTTTATGATTATTATTGGACTGGTAGAAAAGAAGTGGTACTCTTCTTTTTCGGTCAGTCGGTCATCCTCGTGACCTCTCTCTCTCTCTCTCTCTCTCTCTCTCTCTCTTTCTGCCTTCTCTTCGTGCTGTAACTCACCTGAGCACGCGCCCTCGGGGTGGTCCTGCCCAGCTGAATGGAGCCGTTGTGTTGTTGAAGAAGAGATGTTAGAGGAGTTTTGTTTATATTTATTTGAAACCTTGTGGCGAGAATAAATGTCAGAGTCAGGTGAAATATATATTCTTCAACACATTCATTTTGTCGTTGTTTTATAGGATAAGAAAGATAAGGAGCAGATATACAGAGGCACACAATGAGGAAGTAGTCTGTTTTATTAGAATGAATGTACAGCACAGCCTATTGCTGCCTTGCCCCTAGGCCACCCAGGAAGCAACAGGAATACAAAATGTAAAAAAAAAAAAAAAAAAAAGCAGAAGCCCAAAGCTTGTGGTCACAGCCTGGAGAGGAGCAAAGCTGGGAAATAAAGAGGAGAGGAGGGGAGGACGGGAGAGGAAGCTGAAGGAGGAGAGACGAGAGTCTGTCAGATTTCAAAACAAACCCAACAGAAAGAGAGAGAGAGAGAGAGAGCAAAGAGAGAGAGAGGGAGAGAGAGCAGAGATAAGCCCTAATCAGTCTTGTTTTGGATGTTTTTCCCCCTGCTCAGCTGTAACTGTAACCAAAGCGACTCCCTGATATTATTAAAGTGCAGACTGTGACCGTGCTGACGCCGGGACGCCGGGATTGACTCTGCACTTTAATTAAGAAACTATTTCCCCTCCCATCTGTTACTGCATGCGTCTCTCTCTCCTAATCCACCACCACCACCACAATAATAATAATAATAATTATACAAATATTAATAATGATAATAATAATACACTTCTATCACAATCACTTATTTAGGCTATTGCTCATTTAATAATAGTTTTATTGATTTCTCCTCATGCTGCCATTTCTCCAACTGTAAATATATTTTCCACTTCCTCCCTGGTCACTTGGTTAAAAATATCCCCCCAAAACATGCTTAAATATTCTACAAGATCTTCCCTTTCTCCTTGATCATGTCTATTTAGCCCATCACATCTAAAAAAAAAAAAAAGAGTCTCATAACAAACGCAGACAGCCCGAGCGGTGCAGGGTTCCGTCTTAAATAGCCTCCTTTTGAAAAAGTTCTCAAGGCCTTTTATATTTTAATTAACCGTTACCGATTGTTTTGCCTCGGGGCTCGACGGGAAACCTCTGCACGACGAGACCGGTGAAGGCCGGTTGTCGCAAGCCAGGTACATAAAAAAGGAAAGAGAGAGAGAGAGAGAGAGGGGAGGAGGTTGAGGGGGGAGAGGAGGAGGTGGAGGAGGTGGAGGGATGAATGGGAAGGCCACCGGGCAAAGAGGTGGAGGGAATAAGAGAGAGCTTTGGTGTCAATTAAGGTAGTACTTCTAAATATGTTCATATGATCATGATATTGGAGAATATTTTTCAATGTTTCGACAAGTATATCTTTACATCATCTGCCATTTTGGAGCCAGGAAACTAAATGAAAAACACACCAGGAGGCTCCATGATTTCCTGCCCAAAGCAGAAGTCATAATAGTATTCACACCTTCCTTCTTCCTCCTGAAAACATCAAAAAACGAGGCCATTCAATTCGGTTGTCTACCAATCAATTTTAGGCATTCCCCCTTAAACTACCCACTTAATTGACCTGTTTCTTCTCAGATTAGCAAAGGGCAGTCTCTTTTTGTTTTGTTTATGTCAATTAACAACATTTAGAATTTGTTTTCTACAGCCAGAAAATGGCATAATTATCAATCTACCCCCCAAATCTGTACATCACTAACACCTAACAGGCCATTGAGGCTGTTTGTTAGTAATGTTTACGTCATTAAAAGACCATTGAAATGAATGTCTACCACAATAAAGATCTGGTCTACTTCCAAATCTTCCCAACAGATCAGTGAAGACTAGTTTGTTGTTAATGTCAATAACAGACCGTTGAAGTCAGTTTTCTACCTCCAGAAACATTATTAGTTCTATACACCCGCAAATCTGCACATGATAACTGATCAATGAGGGCAGTCAATGTTAGTCACCATTCAGATCAGTTTTTTTCAATTACCATAAAAGACACAATCCTGGTCTACTTCCAAAGATGTGACAGATAACTAAACATATTAGTCATGACTGTCAGGTTTTCTGTTTAAGTCAATGAAAGAAAAAGGTACAGTTTTTGGTCTAACCATCAAATTGTACATGACACTAACCTAACAGATTAGTGAAGGCAGTCTAACTTGTTGTCTGTGTCAATGAAAACTAGTTTTCTATGCTGCTGTGAGAAACAATGCACTTTCAGGTCTCGCCTCTAAATTAACCCATAGATCACCATGAGTCACATATATTCATGTTTATGTCGGGATGTTTTTGCTGTTTGACGCTGTTGTATTAGAGAGAGGTAGCCTTCTTGGGTATATGTATGCTGGTTGTGCAGCGACTGTTAACCACCGTCAACCCGGTGGAGGCACCAGTTGCACGGTAGACGGTTCTAATGGGGGCTTAAGGCCGACGAGTGGCCCCGCTTTTACCGGCGGGTCTGGGAGCGCAGCACCAGATGCGCACTGATCTCCGGACTGGAGCCAGTCCATCTGCCGCCTGACGAGGCAGGGAAAGGCCCCGAAACCCCGCACAGCCCACAGCCCAGAGGCGAGAATTTAGATCAGCCCCGAGGTTCCTGGATGGAGCGCTGATCCTGCAGAGAGAGGAGGGCCTTGTGTAGCTGAGTTTTTTTTTTTTTAGTAGAGCAAGTGTCATGAATGAAGACGAGGCAGAAGATTACGTTTTTATATACTAATGTAGCTTTGGTGCACTTTGATTTCATTCATGATAATGAGTAGCATCATCTTTCCACAATATGTCTCAGATGGAGATAATAAGACAACATGTTCCTAAAAATGCAAAAAAATACCTTTATCATCCTTGACAAATAATCTCTTAATCACAAGGTCCCATTTAAACCTGGAAAAATTAGCTTTGATATGAGAATAAGATATAATAATAACTTTTCTGCATTTTTGATGGCGCAATATGAAATGTATTCAGCGCAGGGTAAACTACCTCATCCAAAGTATGATGTTGAAAGTCCACCGTTTCTCCCTTGAACACAGACTTCATAATGTAAACTCATGAAATGAAAAGATAATCCCCATGTTTTATAAAACGGGATGTCACCCTTTTTGTTTTCCTATCACCCCTGATTGGTTTAAATGGCTTTAATAGTGGGCAACTTACCTCGCCTATCTATAATAGATCACTACATAGCCTGCAGTCATTTAGCCCTGCCACAGTAAACTGTAATCTCCTTATAGGCTTTAAGGCTCCTTTTAAGTATATTGTGTCAGATTTGAACACTTCCAGTAGTCCTCAGTGGTGATGCGTTTAATGTCTGTGGGGATTTAATTCCTTGTCTTAAAGATAGCCTAATATGTTATGAAATGAGAGGTCTGTTTACACATTACTAATCTGTTGTCAGAAGCAAGAGGCAACTAAACATTCACAATAGTGTCTGCTCCCAGGCTGTGTGCACATGTGGTGGCCTTGTTTATGAGGCTGTTTTTGGTTTTAATCAGCTCCGGTCAGACACCGACCTCATATGGCCATGAGCGTCCGTTAACTCGGTGCTGTGGTAGCCAGTGTGTGTGTGTGTCTGTGTGTGTGTGTGTGTGTGTGTGTGTGTGTGTGTGTGTGTGTTTAGGCCCGCACCTTTCCAGCCAAAATAACGACTGGCATAATGAAGGCGAATCATAACAAACGGTCCAGAAGATGTTTGTCCAAAAGCAATTAAGAAAATGGTG